ACCAGACAAAGAACAACTTCTACTTATATTGGTATTGAGCATTGGGCCGAGTGATACTACAGACGCATGCCAACTGTGTATAAAGATGATTTATACATTGACAATTGTTTTCTCTAGTCATTAGAGAGAAACGTTTCCTTTGATGTAAAATACAGGTCCACATCATGTACATTTGACATCTAGACAGATCGAACCGACTGTTACTATTAGGGCAGTAGCTTTGTGCAATCAAGCAAAGCGGCATCGGAGGATTGTTGTACGGGCGGTTCAGCATAGGACCTTGGCAGTAGGAATTGCGCATAAGAGGAAACATCTTGCTACGTCGACACTTGCTACGGGACAATTATAGAATAGACTCGAGAAGAGAAAGAAGAGACAAACTCTCCATGGAATAAATTGATATCACAAAGTAAAAAGGAGCCCGAGACTAGTTCGTTTGCTGGTGTATGAGTGATACCTTGTTGGTTGTGGCCATGTTACAAAGCCCAGTCAGCCTGGCAAGATGTCTTGTCCAGCTTTTCATGTTCCAAATTAGTGATGTGACTCATCTACAGGCCATCATGAGCAGCGTAGGAGGAGCCGTCGCAGGCCAACTGCCGGGCTGTTGCTTTGATAAGTTCTACTCTGGTCAGGCTACCTCGCCGCCTTGACTGTCTGATTTACGATTGCGTCGAAGTTGGTCCCATACTGCGGCTCAACAAGGACAAGTCTCATTGTTCTGTTCCAGATTCTGTAATTGGTTGGACCTTTTGTCACCAGGTTTTACGTGTTCTGTCATTCTGGTGGTCCTGAGCGTCTTGCTTGTGGCGTACGTCGAGACGAGGCTTCTCTTCGGACCGCGAATCGACGCCACTCGATATGGTCGAGCTTCTGGTTGATACGAGAGGACAGATTCTGATTTATTTCGCGACCAGTTTGCAAAAACTCATCCGAGGTGGCTGGCACGCTGTTGCTGCGCCACAACTTCGCTGGGTTCAAGATATGCTGCTGCATTGTTTTCGTACGAGTTAGCACCAACGCTATAGTGTGATACGGTCAAGGATTCTCTCAGTGATGAGATGGGATAAGAACCGTAAAGTACGAGTACGAGGGGCAGAACAGGCGACAAGCCAGAGTACTCATATAAACATGAACTGCCCATATGTCAATGAAGTCGCTAGATACATGTGCCAAACCCAGCAGCTGCTGCTGCTCTAAGTGGTGAGGACAACTAGGCCAAGTGTCTCGGCCGAAAAATACACATGCAATACCCACAATGCAGGGCCGTTTGCCCAACAGCACAGATTAATTTCTGACTGGGGCACAATGGCTGAGACGGGTCACTCCGTGACCGAGGCGTTCCTGAGCCTATCTGGTGGGGAGGGCCAGAGAAGGGATGCCAAGTCAGTCCAGGGGCTCGCCCACTTGCCAGCTGCAATCAAGATCAAATCCTTTCCAGAGGCTCGACTTGGCTTGCCAATGAAGAATCCGTGTCATAAACGCCGTCGGCCAGAGCGTGGGGATCCGGCTGCATGGCCGAGGAATGCTGGGAATGTGATGCGCAGATGAACTCTTGTGAGCCTCGGCGATGACGCGCTGTGGACCAAGAAAATATCAACTCTTCGGAAGAGTATCCAAAACGATCTGACAACCTGAGCTAGTGTTTCTCCTTTACGTTACTAAGCCCCTGTCGAGACGCCGCCGGCCCTGCGTCGCGGTCCACCTCGTCGGCTGCAGGTCGGCTGCAGGAGACGGACTTTGAGCCTCATGCGAACAGAGTGGATTGGAGATCGTGAAGAGCCAGCAATGCGCGATATCCACTGGAGATTGCAGGTAATTATGCCGCGGCTTAAGACGGCTATATGCAGGAGACCCGTACTATATGCAGCATCGTAATCTGCTATTACATGTGTGGGCTGGTCGGCGCAAATTGAAATGGTCGGTATCCTTTGGATGAGAGGGTGGCATGTGAAAAACACCGACGGGGTTGCGAGCCAACACTACAGGTGCAGGCAAGCTACAGCCTGCAGCGGAATTGGAGCCTCCAGCTATTCACCCGTGATGAGGGAATAGCATCGAGTAACCAAAGGGGATCAAAGGCCGCAGGTACCCTGAGGAGGAGGGTAAGGGGACATTCTCTCTGATCCTTGGGCCATGTGTGCGGAGGCTGCCGGGGCGAATGAGAGGCCTCTATTAGAATCTGGAGAAGTGTTAGACCAACAGCTATTGGTCAAATGATACAAGGACAAGGTGGTGATGCGTGGTGGATTCGCGGCAACATGATGGGCGTGAGTCCAAGCGCTTAGGCAGGCATGCCTTCGGGACCGACTATACGAACCGGGAGACTGCAGCTTGAAAAGTTTCTGGCCATTTGAGCAAATGCGGGCTGTAAATAGTTTCGTTTGGCAGGCCACAGCTATGCGCTTTTTTTCGGCGGCGCGCCACAAGCCCTTGCCCACCACCCACGTACACTATTGAAGGGATGTCTGGGCAAATTAGGCAGACTAAGTGCAGGTGTGCAGGTCACGTAGTCGGGTACGAAGACGAGGGCTTGCGCCACCTGGTCTTGGTAGCAGCAATTGTAACAGACGAGCTGTGCAGAGCGTCAGCCATCTCTGGAAGGGCAGGTCCAGCCAGCTTGGCGACAGCGAGTGCGGCGCTGTGTAGTCGAAAGAACTGATCGCTGCATTCAACAATGTTTCCACACCAGTCCGGGATGCGCGCAAGACATTATTGCTGGGTAGGACAGAGCTTGATAACAAGGAATATCCGATACGGGCAGAGCGGATGGTTACCCAGTCAGGAACGTGGCCCGATGTACGATATGATGACGTCGGGAAGGGCGGCAGGATTCTACTTCCGGTTCTACTGGCAGACGACATATCGGTGGCTCGGCGAGAGCGGATAAAAAGTAATTGGTGATAAGAGGCTTGAAGCTGGTCGCGAGTGGCAACGTGGACCTCGGGGAACGAACTTGTATCTAATTATGAATAGCACATGTTAGTTATTGACAATGGTAGGAAGACTATTCTCCAATCCATCATAGGCTTGAACTAGTTAAACTACCGTGAGGACCTAAAGACCAGCACGAATAGGGGTGGAGCTGCGGTTAGCCTGCTAGTGGCGCAGATGGACAGTGAATTTAGTGCACAGGGTCCCTTGGTAGGAGCTAAGTCTGATGTCTGATGCCTTGCCTGTAAGAATTGCTAAAAAATCATACTCGGCATGCCGGTTATGGCGGTGATAATGCGGCCTCCAAGTTGCGGATGGAAAAATGTAGGTAGTTAGTGAGTGAGTGAGGGCTGTGCGGGTAGAGAGCTTGGGAGGCGGAATTTTTTGTTGAAGCCGAGAGGCCGTGAGGCGTGGGGAAGCCGACCAGGGTTCGGTTATATGGACATTTTCGTTGGGGAGACCAAGCGGAAGGGGCCATTACTTCGTGCTCACGAGTACCTATCATCGCCTGGGTGAGGTGACTATTTGCAAAGAGCAAAAAAAGCATCGCCACCCAACGGAAGACGGAGAAAAACAACATACGATATGCGCATTGTTTGAGCCGCCAACCGAATTTGCCTCGGACAGGGGAGGAGTTGCATGAGTGCCATCGCTGAACCCTCCGTCGATCCCGGAAGATGTGGTGGACTGATGGTGCGGTGCTGGACAAAGCTTGTTGGGGCTGAGAGAGGGGTGGGAGGGACCGGGTTTGATAGTTTCGAATGGACAGGAAGGAAACAATCTTGACTAAACAGAGAATTGAACAGACCACTAGAAACATTAGGCATTCCTGTCGCTTTTACATTAAGCGACCGAGCGCGGCAAAGAGTGTTTTAACGTCAAACGATGCCCTGTAAATGATGAGACAAGCCGGGTATCCGTACAGAGTACAGACTTGTCAGCCAGTGGCTAGGTAGGTTAGTTAGAGGTGCTTTGCAAGCCCCCAAGTCCTCTGCAAGCCGCATTTGAGCCCTGTGACTGAAGATGCAGGCGCTGGCCACTTGGCACTGAGCCATTGTCTGCAAGCTGCAAAGCTCACCCCCGCACTGCCTCCACCACAGCTACACTAGCGTCCCTTTTCCCCCAGACAGACACAGATGACAAGCGGCCAAGTCGACTTATTCCACTCTAACTGCGACTAAAAAGCAGGCACTTGCAGGTATTGCAGTTAGCATCAGCCACTAGCCTTTCCCCAGCACAGCACTGAAAGCCCCCCATAGCTTGGCCCTTGGGCAACGCCGTACCCAGTACCAGCTCTTGTAGCCAACCACCACCAAGCACTCATGTACCTACCTATCCCACCTCAACAGCAATCGCAGGCAGCTCCAGCCACGCCAACTTCAGCCTGCTCTCCGCTCTCCACTTGCCTGGGCCTGCCGCCCGCCTGGCCTTGGACCTTGGTTGCTTGGCTTCTCTCGCGGCCTCTCCACCCAAAAGTTCTTGCTGCTGCCGCTCCCTCATTGTTTTCCTCGTCGCCTCTGCCTCTCGCTGCCTTTTCTTCCCTCCATCGATCCCGCGCCGGCTCGCCTAACCCCGTCCCTGTCCACTCGCCTCTCCAATTTCTTTTTTAGCAGCGTCATCGCCGGCCCCATCGTCACCCTTCTCCTCTTCTGCCTCTGTTATTGCTGTCTCTACCCGTTCTCTCCCTCCCACCACAACCTCTCATAGCTCTATACCAGACAGCCGATCAGGACAGCCGACCGTCCTCCATCCTCCTTCCAACATGACCGACTACACCTCGGGCATCATGCCCCTGACTCAGGTCCATCGCCCTCCCTTTACCGTCCAGGCACCTGGCGTCGAAAAGATTCCCGGCGAGACCATTCCTCGCCGCCATCCTCGCGCAAAGAACGGCCTCCTCAACCGCCCAGCCAAGGACGTCCACACAGTCTTCGACATCGTCCGTCGCAGCGCCCGCGTCTACCCCAACAACAACGCTGTCGGTACCCGCAAACTTGTCAAGCTTCACAAGGAGACCAAAAAGGTCAAGAAGAACATCGATGGCGAGGTCCGCGAGGTTGACAAGGAGTGGCAATTCTTCGAGCTCTCTCCCTTCTCATTTATCAACTACAAGCAGTACGAGGAGCTCGTCCTCGAAATCGCCTCTGGTCTGCGGCACTATGGCCTTGGCTCCGAGGACAAGCTGCATCTCTTTGCTACCACCAGCGCCGGCTGGTCCTCTATTGCCCACGCCTGCGCTTCCCAGTCCATTTCTATTGTCACCGCATACGACACCCTGGGCGAGAGCGGCGTCGCCCACTCTCTCCTTCAGACCGATGCCAAGGCCATGTTTGTCGACCCCCACCTGCTCAAGACCGCCGCCAAACCCATCAAAGACTCCAAGGTCAAGCTCGTCATCATTAACGAGGAGTGCATCTTTGCCGAGGGCGGCGAGGTCGAGGCTTTCCGGGCTGACAACCCTGATCTCACCGTCGTCTCCTACCAGCAGCTCCGCGAGGCTGGCAAGAACAACATGGTCGAGCCCAACCCCGCCAAGGACAAGGACCTATTTTGCATCATGTACACCTCTGGCTCCACCGGTCTGCCCAAGGGTGCTTGCATCACCCACGAGTCTCTCGTCTCTGGCAGTAAGTTTGCGCATCTAGTCCATCTTGTTCACTTCGCCATCTAACCCACTTCTCCCCCAGTCACCGGTCTCCTCACCTGCGTCGACGAATGCGTCAGTGATAGAGAAGTCGTCCTCGCCTACCTCCCCCTCGCCCACATCTTCGAAATGGCCCTCGAGAACCTGCTCATGTTCATTGGCGGAACCATCGGCTACGGCAACCCCCGCACCCTCTCTGACACCTCGGTCAAGAATTGCGCTGGTGATATGCGTGAACTCAGACCCACCGTCATGGTGGGTGTTCCCCAGGTTTGGGAGACTGTTAAGAAGGGCGTTATGGCCAAGCTCGAGAGCGCTAGCGCCATTCAGCAGAGCCTTTTCTGGGGCGCCTTCAACTACAAGACCTTCATGACTAGAAATAAGCTGCCCTTTGCCAGCATCTTTGATGGCATCGTCTTCTCCAAGGTCCGCACTCTCACTGGTGGTCGTCTACGCTTCACCATGAACGGTGCCAGCGGTATTTCTGAGGGCACCAAGCACTTCCTTTCTCTCATCCTTGGCCCCATGCTGGCTGGCTATGGTCTCACCGAGACTTGTGCCAATGGCGCTCTTGGTTGCCCCCTTGAGTACTCGCCTTTTGCCATTGGCCCCATGCCTGCTTCCATCGAGATCAAGCTCGTTTCTATCCCCGAAATTGGCTACGATGCCGACGCCAAGGTCCCCCAGGGTGAGATCTGGATTCGTGGTCTCCCCGTTATGAAGGAGTACTTCAACAACCCCGAGGAAACCGCCAAGGCCATCACCGAGGATGGCTGGTTCAAGAGCGGTGACATTGGTGAGTTTGACGAGAACGGTCATCTCAAGGTCATCGACCGCGTCAAGAACCTCGTCAAGATGGCTGGCGGTGAATACATTGCTTTGGAAAAGGTCGAGTCCGTCTACCGCGGCACCCAGACCGTCGCCAACCTCATGATCCACGCGGATCCCGAGAAGAACCGCCCCATCGCCGTTGTCATGGCCAATCACGCCGTTCTCGTCCAAAAGGCCAAGGACCTCGGCGTCGACGAGCACCACATGCACACCGACCCCAAGGTCAATGCCCTGGTGCTCAAGGACCTGCAAACTACTGGTCGCCGCGGTGGTCTAAGCGGCATGGAGATTGTTGCCGGCGTTGTCATTACTGAGGAAGAATGGCTACCCCCCACTGTGAGTTTTGTCCGAGATATGCGACGTGCTGTGCACCGAGTACTAACAGTTTTCCCCAGGGTCTTGTGACCGCTACCCAAAAGCTCAACCGCAAGGTCATTCGCGAACGCTACGAAAAGGAGATTTCCGAGTGTGTCAAGAACATCTAAATGACGACATGACAACTATCCAACGAGACGACGGCAAGATTATTGGGAAATCGCATGCAGAATTCCACAGGAGTCTAGGGAATGGTTTATACGGATGAAGAGGGGACGATGATACCGCCCGTTGCATGAAGCCAGCAACGTGTTTTTGCTTTCTTTGCCTGATTTATTTACGCGATTCGAGTCTTTTGCCTTGCAAGGCTGGGAAATTTTGCGTAGCTTGATGTTTGTATTGTAGGTTATTTCTGCCCTCGGCTAACTCGCTCCTATGCAAAGCGGGAGCAATGTATGAACATGTGCAGTTGACGATTGAGTTTAATTTCTCCGTGGTGATTTATCAATTGAGCTCTTGCATGATTGCCGGTTGCCCTTTTCTGCACAATGACCCAACAAACAAACATCCAAAGCAAAGGAGAGCAAAAAGGGGAAAAAAAAAGAATTAGAAAACTTGCTGTCGTTCTATTAGCAATTCCTGGCACTGCGCTTATTTGACCAGCGGCTCGTGCTGTGGTTCGGTGGTGAGAATGGCGTGGCTAGCACCAAAAAAGTGAAGGAAAAGAGCAAAAAAGCGCCTACTTAATAGCAAAGAAATACTTGATCTGAGCTCTCTCCTGTGAAGAAATTTACTGTCACAGACTGAGCCTTGTCTAGCTGCCGTGATAATGCAGTGCCTGCGCGCGACTTTAATAAAGATGTAATTTTAGTCAACAAGGGTCGCAATGCGAAGCCTTTTGACTGTCCGCGGCAAAAACCTGGTGTGATCAGCGAGTCAGGTCAGCGATGGCCCGGTTTTCCCTGCCCACCGTACGAAACGAAGTAATATCGCGCCTAAACAGCTGACTCATGACGACGGTCATATCCGTAAACCGCGGCTACATAGTTGCCTGCAATGAATTTGCCCGGGGGATAGCTTCTTACAGTTATCTCTGAATAGATGAGCCGACCAAGACAAGGTAATTCTGGGCCGCCTTTCAGACTCCATTTCCTGCGCGCTCTGCCGTGGCTTTCAAGTCTCTTGCGCTCTTATTTTAGTCAGTGCGTATAATAAGATTCTGCGATGCGCCAATGGACATTACCGAATATTTGATATGAACATGGCATGTCTTCCCCGTATTTGCGCCGCATGGCAGTGCACTCGGTGATATATTTGCCGTGTTCGAGTTACCACGTAAAGCGTTTATCGGATGTAAACATATTATAGGTGAAGGACTAATAATCTACTATTTTTGTCTCTACGGAGTACTATTCAAGTAATCTGAGCTTCCCTACTAATAATTGAATAAGGACACACCATCTAAAATCTTTCCAACCTCACCTCTTCTCTTGTATACTTCTCAGCAACATACATCGTCAGAATGAGGATCACATTATTCTCCATTGTCGCCATTGCACTGGCCAGTGCCAATCTAGGAACTCGTCAAGCACCACCACCTATACAAAATTCAGAACCTCCGGGAAAACAGATCTGTAACGCATTGTGCCGCGGCATGATGAAATGGGGCCTGAACGATGCGCTGAAGCCTCCTGCGACCGTCAACCCCCCCTTGACGAATATGCCACTAGGCCTAGGCGTGCCTCAGCCCAAATCGAAACCTGATCCGTCTGTCAAGACTGGAGTGACGCGAGTGCCGGGTCAGCCCCTTGGACCACAGAAGTGCAGGCCATGCAACAGGAAGAGGCAGCTCTGTTGTGGTGGCGCCCCGACCAAGGAGATCCTCAAGAGTAACAATGGGCGTCCGGTTCACCGCATGGCGAGAATCCGGGTGACCAGGGCAGTGGCCAGGGCAGCAGCCTTTTCTCTTTTAGTGCCGCATGCGAGAAACTTGCTCGAAGAGATCAAGCAGTGGGATAATCCTATTGGTTACGCTGTCAAGTGGTTGGACGAAGCGATAGCCGCTCTTCAAGAGGCAATTGGAGGCCCGCAGCGGTATGACATTGACGGAAACGACCTGAAAGCAAAGTTGATTTGTGCATTAAAAGGGGGAGAGGCGGAGGATATTATTGCAGGGCGCAAAAACAACATCTGCATACCCATGGCTGATGAGTTCAAGGAAGATCTCGAGAGCGATTTTAAAGCGGGAAGGCTTGACGAGCTCATTGACATGTGCAAGGATGAGACATATAAGGGAGGTGACCCGCACGTTTGGGAGTGGTTCAAGAGGCGCTGTGCGGCTCTTCGTCGAACTGACGAATATGCAGAGAGGATATGGCAGATGGGCCTCGACGGGCTCTTGGATGCTTGCTCTAACCTTGGAGACGGCTCTACGCAGAACCAAGATTTGCAAGCAAAATTGGAAACGCGCTGCACCGCGTTACAAGAAGAGATATACCAGGTGGAACTGGCTGCAAAACTCCCGCCTTATTGGGCCCGAAAGGTTATATCATCGGGATGCAAGGTACGTTGGTGAATTACTTACTGGCCAGAGAGATTGCTCTGCTATTGCTATTTCATGAGATCAAGTGAATGAAGCTGACTGCAAGTATAGTGCCCTCCCTGGTATATGTCACCACCTACCGGCTCCTGTGTGATGATGTGTCGGACTGCCGCACAAATAAGCAAACGGCCTAGACCTGGCAATCGGCAATAATTTTGAGAATAGTGCTTCTGTGCCGGTGCCGGTGCTGGTGCCCGAGGGCGGAGGAACCGGCCGGAGCAAAAATGTACCAACAAGATGATATACTTTGAGTTAGGCTATTTCGCAGCCGAGAAATGCTTGGGCAAAAAATACAGTATTTATTAATCTAGGGTAATCGGAAAGGGAGGATGCGCTATGCGATTGTATAATCCGGCAACTACCACTAATGTCGTTGAGCGCCTCATCAACGTCCACAGTACCGCGACTGATGTTTCGCTGCCCATTCTTGGGAAGATATCTCGGGTGGTGGTAGTAATGCTACGTCGTTTTCCAACATATGCTGCTCAAAGACTGCAAAGGCGAGTATACGCCAAAAACACAAGCATCACGATTCATCATGGCAGACGCAGTGGGCTGGAAAGTATGTCGACTGTCAATGTAGCGTGATCAACCACAGATTTGAAGTTGAATGACCAGTAGAAGTGTATATTTGCTTGAAATCTGTAGCACTCCCTTGTATGTACTCTTGAAATCGAGGACCTCCCGTTGAAGTGACCCCCATATTCTTCAACAGAACTTGCTTCTGGTCGGATCATTGACAGCCTCACAGCAGCAACTGCCCGCCGTCACAAAATATCTTTAGACCTTGACCCATTTATCAGGAGCTAGCGCAATATTCAACGTCTGACCGTCATAGAGCCAATCCTTGATTTCCTGCTTCACAGAGAGTGCCGTATAAGTGCCAGAGCAGAATCCATATACCGTCACCTCTTATAAAAGAAAATGTGTCAGTTTTGCTACTTTGTTTCAAACCAGAAAAAAAGAAATAAAAAATATCTCCTCCCCAAACAAGCAAGACAGTGGCTTTCTTTTTTTTTTTTTTTTTTCATACCTTTAGGCAACGCCGCGTCATGGCCTCCTTCACTCGCAATCCCGACAGACGCAACGTCGGTGACGGCAACGTGCTTGGTCTCGTAGGCCTTGGGGACGCTGATGTCGGTGGTGAAGACCTCGCGGCGAGAAGGATGGCGGGTGATTAAAAAGCGGCCCTTGCCCACCTTGGCGTACAGGCTGTCGTCGGTTCCGGCCCAGTTTGCATCGGCAATGTACAGATTGACGCTCATGCTTTGGAAGTGGCTGCATAGAGGCTTCGCAACCCAGTCGTGGGGGCTGACATTGTCGGCCCAGACTTCCCAGTCGCGGTTGTACTGGAAGCGTCCTGGCTCGTCGGGATGGGCCTGCAGTTCCTTGTTGAGGGAGGAGAATTTGTCAAGCACGATGTTGATACCCGAGCCGGCACATCGTCCTCTGAGCGTAAAACCTAGACTGGAATTAGCTTTCAATGTGGAAAGAACAAGACAGTGTCGGGTCATGTTTTACCAATAATGTTCCACGCGTCTCCCCCAAAGTTCCAGTCCGTCAGCTCATCGAGGAGGCCGACTCTTTTGATCTGGTCCAGAGCGACGGTATCCAGCCCAAACACGTCCTGTATATTGATATCCTGCAAAGTCTCGTAGCCAGCGGAAGGGCCTTCTGTGATGACGTGAACCTTTTGTCCGGCGTCCTCGAATCTTAATTTGATCTTGTCGTAGGTCCCAGATCCTTGATCATTGGCCAACTTGAATTCCAGAGACAGCTTGTCTAAACGACTGCACAACCGCTTCTGGCTCTGTGACGTCCATTCCCAATGCGTAGGTGCCGCTCTTGGTTTCGCCGTGTCGCAAACAAGGGAAGCGACCTTGTCATTAAACTTGGAACGCGTCGTGTAGATGTCAACAGTTTTAGCACCAGCTTCAAAGTACTCGCCTTTGCAGTTTGGCTCTCTGCAATGTTTTCGACCATGTCAGTTCTCCGTGTAGCCAAAGTAGCAGAAACCAGCGCTTACAAGTAAAAGCGGCAAATACTATCAGCCTCATGCGTCCTGACGCCAGATACCACGTCCTTGTACTCCTGCGGCACGGCGACTGAAGACCAGCGCATTAGTCAGTCAATAGAAACTCGGGCAGTTGGTCAAAACCTACCGCAACGGCGCCGAGGGGCTTCAACCGTAGTACAAGGTGGGTTGAGAGGATCATTTTTGCAAATATCAACAGTAGTTTTTGGGCCTTTGACAGTTAACCAAGATATTCTTGTGCCTGGAAGCTCATTCCTGCTCCCCGGTTGTTTCTCACTTGCCTTTTGGCTCTGGTCGCTTCGGCGTCACCCGACGAATAACATCTCGGAGCTGTTCACATTGCGCTGATATGCCGAGGGCGGACTGTTAGCAGAAAAGGACAAGAAATGACAGTTGATCAGAATAGTTCAGGCAAATACCCTTCTTGTCATCTCTAGACTTCAACGCAATGCTTGCAGCACGTGGCATGTGTCTCTGTGGGAGCATCTTGTAATCGAAAAAGGTGAGGCTTGATCTGAGTCCCGGGCAGTCGAGATTATTGAACCGGCCCGCTTCCAAATCCTCCATTTCACCACCAGAGATATTTGCAACGTCAAAACTCTCCATTGCTACCGGTTCGGTGTTCGCCGGCGGCGTCGGGGGGGTATAGGGGAACGCCTGGTTCTCCGTCCACCCGACAGCCAAGGCATGATTGTTCATAAACGTAGTCGCAGCTCCAATGAGTTGCGCTTCGTCAGGAGGCTGAGCTGCTAGCAAAGCGACTTGCGGATCAGCTCGAGTTTGCCGAGCAGGTCCTCCCAGTCCGCTGTCGTCATATGCCCGGTTAGGCTCGAACTGATCGGCAAACTCGGCCGCATATCTAGCTGTAAATCTGTCTGCAGAGGCATCGTCCAGGTAGTTGCTGCTGGTTTCGAATTCAGGGTCCTCTTCCAGCAGGAGCCAGCCCTCGACTGCAGTCCATGGAATGCCGCCCAAGGCGCTGGCCTCCTCCTGTCTTGGATATGGATTGCTACGAGGAAGAGCCTCGTTGACATTGATCATATTAGGAGTAACGTGAATTCGATAAACAAAGTTTCCCGGGCCGGCAAAGTTTCTTGCCGCTTGTCCAAACTCTGCTGATGTCGACACGTAAGCTGTTGAACCCGTTCTTCCATTGACATGATTGTCGAGACTGAACGTGGTAAGCTGAGTGTAGCTCGTGGCGTCCGGGTCGGGGAGAAAGCCGCCTGCGTCCCGAATCTCTTCTGGAATTCTGCTATCTCCACGGAAAACGTAGTACTCAGGGTTGTCCTTTGGATTGTGCGCCTGGCATACGTCTAGGACGGCGAAGAATGCCGCCACGCATCCAAGAGGGGACCAAGGCAGCCATACCATCTTTGGTAGTAACACCTTTTTAGGCAGCGAGGATTTTTGGACAAATAAAGGACGTAAGAACTGCTCAGGTAAGGCGGGCTTCTCAGATAGGCGCGCCAAGTAAAACCAATTGGCATAGTATGCAAGTCTAAAACATCTCTGAAGAAAATGGTAGCAATACCGGTTTATATACTTGTACTGAGACATCTCGAAGAAGGAAACTGGCCCGAAGACGCATCTCAGCACCTGATGAGCAATTCACAAATGCAAACATGGTCCAACTTGGTCTGTATAACGCGGATAACGCACCAATAGACAAATTGCCTATATTCCATGGGTATAAGCTATAGTCCATAGAGCGAGGTTTTAATTGCAGTTATTGTCGCTATTGTTGCTCTCGTTACTGAGTCGATGTGTTCAGCGGCTCGAAGTTATCACTCCTTATTAGTTACTATTAAGGCAACTAGGTTAAAAAACCACATGCCATCAAGTTCCTATATTAGAACATGTATATTATACCCGAAAGAGTTTTATTAATAAAGATGAAAGTCTTTTATCTAGTTAAAGAAGAGGAAAGCATTGCAAGCCAAGCGAAGCCGCCTGATACCAAGACAACGCTACTGTATTGGTCTTGCTTGGCCTTCTCATTTGCACCCAAACAAGACCTGAGAACTGACTGCCCTAGTTTCTTTTCGAAACAGGTTCCTGAGCTGCTACTTCTCTAACCTGGGCTGTCCTGGGCTGTCGTGAGCTTGCCTCTGAGTCACACGATGCCCGGAATATGCCTCTTAGTATATATACGCCACTACTATTCCTCAGCCTGTGTAAGGTCTAATGTGCGTATTATAGTGGCCTTGCGCTCGCGGCTAATGATATGCCCTTTTGCTGTTTACGAGCATATCATGTACACGTCTGTATGGTTTCCACTACCGATCAGATTTTCCTTTGGCTTGGCTGGTCCGCCAGCTGATGAAACGGCCAGCCCTTTGGCTAGAGTCAAAGAAGCTGGACATGCATGGTGATAAATAAATCGAGTCTAATATAGCAATCATGAAGGAAAGATATGCCCATTGACGGTAATTTAATCTTCCGCTAATGCTAGTATCTTGACGGCGGTTATTAGTTTCAGGCTCGTGTGCTTGCTTGCCGAGCCTTCTTCACCCTGGTAGACAGGGCTGTTAATGGAGATGGCGTGGGATGGAATTGATGATTACCTCGCTTCTTGGTTATCCATAGCAGGCGCCCACATTTTCAGGGCATCGTATGAGGGTATAACTGGAGCACTAGTTGATTATGAAAAAGGCGAAAAGCGGAACTTTGATGTTCGGTCCATCGCCGGCAGCCAGCCATTATGAGGGGGTGCCGGACCCGCGGGACACGAGACTGCACATTTGTGTAAAGGTCTAAGAAATGTTTCTGAAGCTTGATGAATGGGTTGTGAGAAGATGATGTAGTTGCGATGCGTGCCAGCAAAGTTCCTTTACCGTGGCGGTTGATTGCCCTGTCCCGAGACACACTCTACGGAGGCGGCCTATCTAACCGCGCTCTTGAAGACATGGTATTTGAGGTGGTCATGGGACAAGTCAGAAGCCCCATCAGGAATACGGTTTTCTTTTAGAGTTAAGCGGGTCGTCGTCCATGTGTTGGCTGATCAGGCAGCATGCCAAGGCGGTGAACCGTTAGATCGCCGACAGATACGAGAAAAAGCCCGTGGAACGCGTGGGGCATAAAAATTAGTAGCCTTTGAATTGATCAAAAAAGTACGCGGTCTAGCCATGTGGTCTTTGAAGCAAGCTGCTTCAATTTCGGCTTATCCGAGCCAAGCCAGATGGAATTATAACCGTATCGATATAGAATACCTGTTATGTTATACCTAGACCTCTGCGTCACGCGCTCATTTGTCGGTCTTGTCCGATGGTAGATTGAGTTATTGACTACCTCTTATCTAACAGCATCAGTCAGGCTAGGTAGTCGAGCATAGGCGAACATGCCTGCTCTGCATTGTGTCGCTCTTTTTTCAAGCTAGTTATGAAAGAATGTGCTCACTAGGTGTCTTGACAGCTCACCTATGCAAAGTCTAACCTCGTCTTATAGCCCTTTCCTCGCCTGACTTCGAACTGCATGCACATCAGTCCACGTTCTCATCCCTTGGGGTCTTGACCTTGTGCCGGTTACCCGCAACTCATTCAATGCACACACGCCCGTTTATCAGCTTAGAAAAGCGGCGTCCCGCAACTCTAAAGCAGGCTCTGGTATTCTTGCTTATATGCCTAAAGAATCTGGTTTCACATTCACTACTGCAGGAGTTGACGCCCTTTTGTACACAGTAGTCGGTATCGTCTCCACAGTTACGCGTGGAAAGCTGAAAAGAAGAAATACAAAACAGTGAATGCATTTCAACCTGGCGACTGTAAGTACTGTTGCTACTGACCTATATGTTGCACAGGGCCGTTTCGATAACTAGGATGTCGAGGATCCGTAGAATGCATAGCAGCTGTAACTCTGCGGCTAGAAAAGGAAAATGCCGATATGTACTATGCATCATGACAACCCCTCATTTAGGCAGAGTCGACATGAGCTCCGTCAGCGACAGCCTTGTCAATGGTTGCCGGAGCCTTGGAGACGGCAATAGAGGCTTCAGTGTCGGGTCGTGGCTTCTCCATTCAAGTAATGCGTACACACACACATACATCCTATACATACCTACAGATGGTGTCTAAACTCTAGCAATACAAACAGTATGAAGAATAGCAGTGCGAAACTTTATTTTATGGAGTATGTTGGGGCTCGAGATTGTGGATGATGCGGGATGAACCGAACGCGCGGTTAAGCTGCTGGAGTGGACGCTTATCAGACCTGAAAAGTGGCTAGGAACATAGGGATCCGCTAAGAACTTATATACTGGTAATGACTCACCTGCCAATGTCCCAGCCTCTGAAACGTCCTATAAAGGAAGTACTCGTTGAAATGACCAAATCTGTTATTTTTATAGCCATTTTTCTAATATGTCTGATAGGCCGTTACGTGGCATAACCTCACACTCGAATCCTCGAGTCCTTTTACTTGGCACCTTTAGCTACTAGACCTGAGCGCTGGTAGCGTCCGTAAAGTGAAGCTGTACACGGCGCTTATTGGCCTATCTTTAAGCGCGGGTAATGTCACCAGCCATGTCGGGGGGGCGCCTACCACTCCCGGTCTTTGCCGCCTGGCGCGCCAGGCCTGGGTCGCGGGCTCATTTGGAAAAAGGCGGTGTTGCTATTGAAAATCTGGCCCATAGTGGTGTCACATCACTGGCACATCGCTGGCACCGTCACGGGACAAGCCCTGTTGTCTGTTGTTGGGTGGCCTGGGGCCTAAGATATCTGGCGACCATTTTCACATGTTGACGAACAAAATTTAGGCTTCAACGCTTGAGGTCACCGATCCGGGACCCTGCCAGCAAACTCCCTGCCAAACGCCAGGTTCAAAGCCCTTGGTCAAGACGTGGCTGGAAAGTAGGTTTCAGGTAGAGTTCCGCATGTGTGACAATGCTTAGGGTGACAACGTCACTAGCCACGCAGCAATATTCACTGGTTAATCTATTAGATCTCCTCTCACCTAGGCAGCTGCGGCTATGTAGCGCTCCAAGCACCCCTCGCACTTCGCTACGACGATGCTTGCCTCCGCGAACAGTCTGATATAGCTCTGCGGACGTTGGCTGCTCTGAGCATCATTCTACCGCAATGCAGCAATGGCAATACCAGCTGGTCGCTACAACTGCGGCAGACAGGATAGATATATCAACCAGTAAGGTTGTAGTGCGAAGAATTCAACCTCCCAACTTGAGAAAAGCCTGGGCGTCACGACGTGCGGCGCTGTGGAGAGTCATAGTCGACTAGCTGCGGCGCCACGGTGCATCTAGGGACAGGTGCTGGACTCTTTTTCTTGATGAGGGGACCTGAGTGAGCTCTGACCGCTGAAACGGGACATACACCACTACTACTACTCATTCATCTCTTGGCTCAAGAAGAAACGAACTCGTCACAATCGCAGCCAAGTAGTCACGAGTGGAGTAGTAAGGATATGAGATGAACCTGTGCCAAGTCTGGTGCCACGCTGGTCACTGCCAACACAACACGGCCTTTTCGTAAGCCGTGGCGAGACAGGTACGTTCCTTGCGGTGGATTGAATGATTAACCGGCCAATGGACTGTTTGCTATGCCACCATGAAATTAGGCAGACCTTTTGTGGCTTGACATCTGGCGACAGAGGATCACCGGTGTATAAAGTACTCGAATGAAAGATGATGTATCAGATGATCCGTCATTATTTTCTACTTTTGAAGCATAAGCAGCAGTTACCGCTTCTCGCTGTCGCTTCCGCCGTGACTCTCGCTTGGAAGGTATAAGAGGCGGCATCGCTCTCATTGCAGGTTTGTAATTCATCTTCACTTACCGTCCAAGTAATACCGGCCTGCACATATCGCAAAACTCGAATCCGTTCTCGACACGCGTCACGTCGGTACACTATGTCTATTGAGTATGAACTGATCAAAGATGATGTTACCGCAAACAACATCGCTGCGAATGCACCCTTCCTGCAAAAGGAAGTAATCAAGTCCCATGCTGACGGTTTCACACTTGGACCCAGCATGGATGAGGACAAGCCTAATACCAGTAAGATTCACTGGGCTATCATTCTTGATACTCCTCGAGAAAACATTCGCCTTAGTATGGAAAGTCGCCTGAACGAGAGGACAGGTAAGCACGGAGTACTCGTGCTAAAAGTACTGGCCTACTTTGGCATATCACGCAACGTCTTCCACCGACAAACCTTCTCAAGAAAAGGTTCTACTGTCAAGGTCCAAGATATCCTTGACCTTGTCTTTGCACAAGGCTGGCACAAATATAAGATGTTGACGACTAGCAACGGAGCGAAGAAAGGATGTCGCCATCACACGTATGTCAAGCATACGCGGTGTAATGCTCAGTTTCTGATTCTGCTAGTCAAACCATGTTGGCCGGATTCCAGTCTCGGAATTGGATTGAGAGTCGATCCGATACTAGCAAAAGTGTCGAGGAATTCCTGCCTTTTGTGTATACAAGGTATACAGACGACTCTAGAAAGCTATCCATCGAAAAGAGGCCTATTGATATCGGCAGCTTTCTCTGACAGCTTGAAGAAACTAGAGACGGAGCTGGTGGAGAGGGGTGAATGTTGCCTTATGGTCACGGAGAGAGAGAGAGATGATGTTGTGATGTGGAAGAGTGGGTGCCCACTGAAGCGTGCCTATACGTGCCCTGTGTCGTGCCTGCCCTGCCTGGCACTTACTGCGCAAGGAGTACAGTGGGGATTCAAAAATTCCGCTCGTAGTACCACAGTAAATCTAGAGAAGTGTCATAGCCAATAGAGAATTGCCTCTGAGCTATGTTTGATTCTAGCTAGGGGTCCGGCTGTGATCTTTCTTTTACATTGTCGAATATTGTCGGTGGCCATACTTGACTGGTGGAGCTACCTTATTAGTTAGTACAAGGTGATTGCCTCTTGTAAATAGCGTTGGCGCTTCACTGTAACAACATTGAATAAGCGTTCCCACCCGCGTCGACACTTACATGATGCTCAACCTATTTTCAACATTTATTGCCATTATCAAAGTAAATGGATTCCAGTTTTTGGATATGGAGAGGCTAGATTGCAGCACTCACTAGCAGCCGAACATATGAAATCTTGCCGCAAGAGCCATTGCGCGCATATGTTTAGACGGCTTTGGTCCAAAAAGTTGTCTGCACAAGGTATTCGCGAATGCCATGCCTTGGTTAAGAATAGCGAATTCTTCAAAAGCGCGAGGATAGATGCCGGCGAAGCCCCAGTCAATAATAGCGATTGGCTCACACATCTTGACGTTGAACGGGGTAAGATCGCAATGGCATATGGAGAGTCGCTCTCCCTCCAGTATAACACGATCAGAGCGACCCGCATCGTTCAACTTGTTGTTGATCCAATCTTGCAGCTCTATGGCATTGTTGAAAGCGCGGTCCGACCCAATATCCGAGAAGAAACTGTCCACAGGTCTCTCGTGTCCCAACGGCCCGATTGCTGCATTGGGTGGCAGCGGAAGGTCCCAAACATGACGGACTGCATTTGCAATTCGCTCTATTGCCTGTTCCGCTTCCTGCGGATCCCACTTGCTGTATGCTCCAAAATGGCCGCCCTCGACATTTCCATGACAATATATGTCACAGATGCACCGTCCGGCTCAGTTATTGTAAAGGCATCAAAAACTTGGGGAATGCGGACTATGCGAGGATCGGCATGCTCGTATACGTATCGTTGCATCGCGGCTTCTGCCATCCTGACTGTTGTACCGTACTTTACCCAAATTCGGTCGCTATAATCCAGGTGGTAGGTATAAGGATCCTTCACTATGCAAAGAGCTTCGACGACTTCACGTGAGGGTATATATAGTTTAGCCATTTCTGGCATGAAGCTTTTAATATCAGACGACTCTGGAGGTAAAGTGTCAAAGTAGGTGCTCAAGAGTTGAGGAATGGTGTGTCCAGGAGCTTGAGCGTTTGTTGGTTGTACAATTTCGAGTCGTCACACCCACTGTAGGTCTTCGTGGGCATCAAGGTGGGGCGCTGCATTTATCCGATATCGTTGTAAGTGATGACCCAGTGTGTACATCATAGTTTGAAAGTAGTGTCACCCGGTCGTATCCAAGTTTACTCGGCATTGATCATGGTTTAAACTAAGATTTGTCTTGCTGCGCTTGCATCTTTCCCTTCCAAGGCTTACTTTTGATGCACAATACGTTGCGGTCACACCATTGCAAAACTGGACAAAGCGGGTAACTTGGGCCATTCTTGGGACATGTGGTCACCGCTCACGGTGTGCCTCTGTATAAGATGGCTCCGGCCACTATTGCGCCATTCTATAAATACCAATAATAATTTGTGTTTGTTTCGCCTGACAGAGACATAAGATAATTGGCTATGCAAGCAAAGTGCAAAATGGAAAGAAAATAACAAGACAAACGCAAGAAGCCATGACTCGAGAAAATCTGGAAATATTTACAACAGGAAGCCAAACAAGCCGCTTCGTCTCATCCCTTGCGTCGGAAAAACACCAGATACGGGACTCTGTCCTGTCCCGACTTGAAGACCTCGTTTTGGATATCATCGCGATCTCCGCTACCGATGCGGACTCTCGTCACCCTGCTATCATTGCAGCAAAGCCACGCATATGGATCATGCGTGCTCTGGTCCCGCACGTATGCAAAGTAGTGCCCGTTATCCGTCCTGCTGCCGGCGTGAACAATGACGGCGTAGCACTCGTACCGGAACGGGCCCTCGTACGCGTGCTGATCGCCCGTGCCGGGCGGCGGGCGGCCGTTGCCATTTTCGAAAAAGTACGGCGAGAAGTCAAAGTCGTTGAAGTCCCAGGTCACGGGCGCCGTCGACTTTTTGATGTCACCAGTGGCCTGATTGTAGTTGAAGCGACGGAAGCAGACGCAGAGCAGCGGAGGTAGACGCGCAAATGAAATGGACTGCATGGCGCGCGTGTTGCGGCGGCACTTGTCGCAGGAAAAGTCGTCGAGCGTGTTGTTGGCAATGTGCTGGTGCAGGGACTGCTCCAGCGTCTGCCGCGTGCTTCCGAGCGCGACTGGCGCCGGAATCCACTCAAAGGGGGAGAAAGTATACGTCTTTGTGTGGCAGTCGAGACACTTGACCGTCGAAAGCTCCAGCCCTCGCCAGTACTTATCGACAATGGACTCGTTGTACTGGAGGTGATTGTACCAGTACTGGACCGCGGCGTAGAGGAGCGGCTGCGACTTGGTGTTTGGCTGCATCGCGTTGCCCTTTCGATTTCGACGGGAGTTGGTCTCGTCATGTAAATGCTCCATGAGAAAAGACATGAACTCTTGCGCATCTTGTTGCTGTGTTCCTCCAAATTGGGCGTTGGAGCGGCTCTTTTTGCATATATGTTGGGAGTAGTCCTGTCAAGTGTCAGTTTACTTATAATCCGGTGCTGAGGAGGCAAGAAGGTTTCACTGACCATGAGAGTTTGAGCCTTCATAACTTCGAGATTGCCAGTACTCATCCAGTGAAACAGATTAGATACGATGCGAATCATTAGCTGAGCATGTTCTATCTTTTCAGTGTCCTTCTTTGGTGCTCGATATTCCGTGCTCCATGTCGAATCGGACAGCTCCTTTCCAAAGTCTGGGGACGCAAGGAGCGACTGCAAAGTACTGTTTGCATAGCACCAGTTGTGTGGATTGTTGAGGCCTGTGTATAATCTGTAGCCGTCTCCCGTCATCTGCTCCGGGACCTTCTTTACACGGACGCTTTGGCGGGGTGCTACAGGTTCCTCGAAGCGGTCAGCCTCATCTGAGGTATGCGACAAGCTGCCATAACTGAGTCGAGGAACTGAAGGCGCAGGCCGGGTTGGAGGCGAAGGAAGATCGGTATAGGGATCAATGCTGTTCAGGGAACTGTATCGTGGCGGCGGTTCGGTTGCCGGAGAGGACGTCATCGACTCCTGCTCTGTCAAGACTGGAGGAAAGCGGCGTAGGAAAGATTCGGTCGAGCGATGATACTCAGGAGGTTGGTTTGCACTAATATCTTCGTTTTCTAGAGTCTGCTGCCAAACTTTGACTTCGTCCGCGCGTAGAGGCCGAATGTACTTTGATCTCCTGCGCTGAAAAGTCCCACTTCGAGCTCGTGAGGTCGGAACGTGGGAACTGCTGTTGAGGCTTGTAGTCTGTAATGAAGCGGAGCCCATCAAATCAACCCACGCATCTAAGCCACCTTTGAGGATTCTCGGGGGGCGCTTAAGGTCGCGGCCGTAGTTTAGGTGTACCAGTGCGCGATGCAAAGATACAATTACCATATCATCAGAGCTGCGAGGAGAACGAGGGATTTCTTCGGAGTCTTGATCATAGAAAACAACAAGCTCGTACTCGTTGCGTCGATTGAATTGCGACTGTTCCTGGTTGGGCGACAGGACCAAGCTCTCGGTAATTTCTGCGGCTGATATATTGTCTCGAAGTAGGATACTAGCCTCCACGCAGATTGTTGAAGAAGACATAATGTGCCCTTCGTCAAATTCAGCGCGAGAGCGAACATCTATTATTAGTACAGAGCCGCTTTGTTTCATTGCTTGGAAAAGTTCTTCGGCCGCGATTGTGTCAGTCTCGTCGTTGGCAGCGGGCTTCTGTGGCGATAGTTTACTGCCAGTAGTGTTGCTAGGCACAGGCGGAAAGTATTCCATGCTCTGCCTCGCAGATACCGGGCTCGGCATATTATTGAGCGAGGAGGTGGGGGTTGCGCGACTGAATGAGCCTCGTGGTGTGGTGGCTGGCGGACGTCCAGCGTCGCTGGAGACGCTACCACGGGCTGGGTGATATATAGCATCCGGCATTTTTGGTAGTGATGGCACTTCATTCACTGCGCTCGGCTCTGACCTCTGCGGCGACGGAGGCATGTCTCGGGGGCCGGCAGGTTTTAACGGCAGAATCGGATGAGTCTTGATGCGCGGGTCTTGGCCGGGAGTCGTCTGCGGCCCTCGAAGATTCGCAAAGCGTGCTGCCAAGTCAAAATTGGCATTATTGCTCGAAGAAGTCCTTCCATGGCCGGGGACGGCATTTCCTTGGAGGGATTGTGGCTTTGGCTGCACCTTGGGCTTGACCTTGCCAGAGGCCGTCACCGCGTGACCATTGCTTGTGGTGGTGGCGGGGGTTGGTGTTGCAGAGGAATGATTCCCATTCAGTTGCAACTGTCCCGATTTTTGTGATCTGGGCAGCACACCAGTTCTTTTATTGTCGGCTATTATGTCCTTCTTGATCTGGTCGTACGTGTCGCTCTGCTGTTTGATCCGTGTCATGAGCGAGTTGTGTCTCATTGCCAGGTCTCCGCGGCCCTCTTTCAGCAATAAATAATCTTTATGATGATATACTAGCTGGACCGTGATAACAGACGCGCGGATAAAGTCCTTCAAGGCTAGTGCTGGTCTGTTGAAGTCACGGCTCATTTCGGACTGGCGCAGTGACATTTCGGCCTGTTCAAGCAACGACTTGAGTGGCTTTTTGATGTCGACGTCGGTTGGCAATGCAACCACATCGTCGATATGAGGTAGGGCGGGTTTGCCGCCAGCGCCGTTGGCGGCATGGTTGTTGTAGCCTGGTGGAAGGCTGTATCTGGCGTTGGCAGCCATGGACAGGCTGTCCCCTTGCCAACGACCGCAATGTGTCGAGGGGGACGTGCGAGTCTAGTATTTCGGATACAGTGTAGAATGAGCTATAGTCATCGCAGCCTCGGCCTATAGGTGTCGCTCACGGCGAAGCTTGGTTCAAGGTGTCGAGGATGGGGAGTCGTCAGTGTCGCGCAACTGGGTGGCGGGCGGATGAATACGCAGAGTAGAATGAGAGGTTCGGTAGAAGCCAGAGAAGTTGCTTGCTGTATAGTATGAGATAAAATCGAGAGGAATAAATGAGCGCTCCTGCTATGCTTGACATACAACAAAAAGATGCAAAGGCCATGAACAAACATGTGGTACGGCCACTTGGAGGTAATAATAACGAGCTGACGCCGGCAGTGTGGGGTAACTTTTGGGAGTGAGAAGCTCAGTAGGTAAATAGCAGGAGCGAGCCAGATAGAGGAGGTACGCGTGGCCAATGAGGCTGGTGCAGCGTTGAGGAGGTACCTTGACAGCTGGGGCGCGTTGTTGAGCGCTCTACGCAGTGAACAGACGGGGAATATCCAGGTCACTGGCAAGTAATACTATTCTCAAAAGAATAGGATTAGGATGAAAATTGATTTAGTTCATCATAATTGAATCAAGTTAAACGCCACATGCCAACTCGCAGGTTACAGCGACACATACTCCCTTTCGGCCGCCTGCCTCAGGCGCTTCGTCTCACGTACCTAGGTAGGTAGTACCTGAAAAGGTCCCTTGCGAGGCTGGGCCCGCCTAAATAGATGCTTTACTTCTGCCTTCTGACACAGCGCCACCTCTTGTGGGTCTCGCCGCAATACCTACGTCGTCACCGCGCGGAGGCAAGCTAACTTGACAACTAGTCTGCCTAGACTTGGAACATTGGCCTTGACTCAAGTCCATCGTCGTCGCCTCTGCAAACCCTCGACCTTGTCCTGCATTTCCCATCACCAGCGCTGACTTTACATCGACTTTTGTTCTAATTCCCCTCCGTCTCCGACCAACACAGCTCTGCAATTCTCTGCGGTTCCGCGTGAGCCGCCCGCTTTCTCTTTTCAATATGATGTCCTGGTGGTCGTCCTCGGCCAACACGGCTCTGGACGAACAGATTGAAAAGGCTACCAGTAGCAGCCTGTACGTTGCTTCTACCACATCCTCGAAATCATGCGCTAACTTGGCCGCAGAGAGGATATTGCTCTCAACCTCGAAATCTCCGATGTCATCCGTTCAAAGACAGTCGCTCCCAAAGAGGCCATGCGCAGCCTCAAACGTCGCATAGGCAACAAAAACCCTAATACGCAAATCAGCGCTCTCAATGTAAGAGAGGGACAGTATTCCGATACATGTGATGGCTTGTCTGCTAAACTGCACTGTAGCTCACCGATACCTGTGTCAAGAATGGCGGCTCGCATTTCCTGGCCGAGATTGCCTCACGCGAATTCATGGACAATATGGTGTCGCTTCTTCAAGCCGTTGGCGGAGGCGCAGTCAATGGCGAAGTCAAATCAAAGATTCTCGAACTGGTTCAGTCTTGGGCTGGCGCCACAGAAGGCCGATACGAGCTCTCCTATATTGGAGAAGTGTATCGAACACTACAGCGCGACGGCTATCATTTCCCTCCCAAGGTTGCAGTTGCTAGCAGCATGATCGACAGTAATGCGGTAGGCCATCTGCTTCGAAGTTTGTCCCAAGTCTACTGATTCTGACATCTGAACAGCCCCCCGAATGGGCCGACTCTGACGTTTGCATGCGATGTCGCACCGTCTTTACCTTTACGAACCGAAAGCACCATTGTCGCAACTGTGGGAACTGCTTCGACCAACAGTGCTCTACCAAGACTGTCGCACTCCCACATCTCGGAATACACACACCAGTACGGGTCGATGACGGTTGCTACGCCAAAATCACTGGCAAGGGTTACAAGGATCTAGGTCCTCTTCAAGATCGCTCTCCTACCTACCCACACAAGACCAAGAGCACCACAGCTATGCAGCCGCGTAATGCTCGTGTCGAGGACGACTTTGACGAAGACATCAAAAAGGCTTTGGCTATGAGCTTGGAAGAGGTCAACAGCTCCACCAAGGGCAAGGTTGCGTCTCCAGTCAACGGTCATAGAGCCAGCGACTCAGCCGCCGCAAAGCAAGCCGAAGAGGAAGATGCTGACCTGCGCGCTGCCATCGCTGCATCATTAGCCGATGTGGAAGAGCTGAAACAAAAGCACAGTGCCGCGCTTAAGGAGCAGACCGCAATACCATCGGGAAGCGTAGCCAACACATTCGCCATGCCCAAAAACGATTATGAATTGACTCCCGTCGAAGCTGAAAATATTAACCTTTTCGCCACCTTGGTCGATCGTCTTCAAACCCAACCTCCGGGGACGATTCTTCGAGAGCCCCAAATTCAAGAATTGTACGACAGTATTGGCACGCTGCGGCCGAAGCTGGCCCGCACCTATGGCGAGACTATGAGCAAGCATGGTACGTGCGGTTACTGGCTGATCTAAAATATGACCTAATATGCCATCACAGACACATTACTAGATTTGCATGCGAAGTTGTCAACTGTCGTCCGATACTATGACCGTATGCTAGAGGAACGACTCTCAAAGGCGTACAGTCAACAGCATCTCGGTTTCAGCCCGGCTCCTCTCCGCCAACATGCTGGTCCGTACCCATCCATTTCGGCGCAAAACACAGGTAACGCGCACGGAGAGTCTTTCTACACCGGGCAGCAGCTAGGGTACCCGTCCATGCGAAGCCCGCACTTGCAGCAGGCGCAGCCAAGCCAGCCCCAGTTTGCATCCTACGCCGCCGTCCCTGACCAGTACCCTTCAATGCCACAGCAAACAGACTCATCACATATGCATGTGCCGCAGCAGCCTATGATCTCGCCGTCTGCCGATCCAAATATGGCATATTATGCCAACCCCAGTGCCCCGCCACCAGTGCCGTCTCCTTCCGGCCCGTCGGCGCCCGGACCCGCACCAGATGCCGCACAGTCACCATACCCGAACCTCCAACAAGTGCAGTACCACCGCGGATCAGTGTCATCTCAGACACAGGGCACGCCAGTGCCAGCGCAAACGCAACCGGTCCACTCCCCACCCCATGCGCAACCTCCTCAGCAAGCTGTTCCCAGAACACATCAGCAACCGTATTGGCAGCAGACCCAAGCGTCCGCTCCATCGCAGCAAGCTCCTCAGACTTGGGGATATGCTGGACAGCTTCCCTCTGTCCCGCAGCACGAGCCGGTGAAACAGCCGGCACAAGAGGAAGCGCTTATTGAGCTGTAGGATGAGCCGGCTGAGGAGGTTTCTTGGGGCTGCTCTGCGATCTCGCAGACTACCATGCCGGCATGCTGAGGTGTATAGAATCAGAAAGGTCCAATGGGATATGGCGGAGAGTATCGACGGCGTTTGTAAGGAAGCGTTTCTCTAATACTGCTTACACTAGGATTTTGAGAAGGAGATGTTTGAGCAGCGTGTCTCGCTGTGTGCGTGTGGGATAGAGGTGGAATAACTGCAACATGCATGTTCAATAGGCTGTCTCAATATACCACATCTGGAAGCCTCGAAAGTTGACTGATGATGAACGTTTTTGTTAAGATTGTCTTTTGCATTTACAGATGATGGCTTCATTCCCTACTGTCGCCTACTAATAGCATGACTGTACTAGACTGGCTTCGTTGCCAACGTGGGCCGTTTGACAGGTCTAGGGAATCCATTGGGCCCCTCCCGTGGCAAGCCGCCGCTCCCGAGAGCAATTAAGACGCCAACTCGCATGTTGTCAATGCTGTGTTCCCTCATCATCGCGGCAGGCAAACGTCGTTTGGACCCAACACATTGTTCCGAGAACTCTCTATTGGCGGGCAAAGCGTCGCGTTTCGCTTGATCGGAGCAAGGGTCACCGAAACGCGGCCGTGTTCGGCTGCGCTTTGTGTGCTTGCTAGTTGATTCAACGCGAAAGACGAAGCGGCATTGTCCCCAGCTTGACCCGCATTAAAATTGAGTTGGTGCTAGATCGGTGACGAAGAGTCACTTTTTCTTCTTTCATATGCCGTTCATTCGTTTGTCTCTTATGCTTCTTCTCTATTCACTCAGTTTATTTGTTTCAGTTTACGACTTGAAACCTGCAAACTCTTGGACTTTATAAGCGCCTTTCATCTCCCTTCTCTAGACCTTGTTCTTTCCTTTGAAGATCATCAAATCCTGAAACAAGAATAAGGCATTCATTCAACCCATCACCGCCACAACGCTCTCCTCACCAAGAACACCAAAAAAACTTAACACCCATCCATCATCACCCATCATGGCCCCCACCATTCACCTCGTCCGCCATGCTCAGGGCTTCCACAACCTCAGCGTCGAAAACGAAACCATGCACGACCCGGACCTCACGCCCCTCGGCGAGCAGCAGTGCCTGGACCTGCGCTCCGAATTTCCGCATCACGCCCTCGTCGCGCACCTCGTCGCCTCTCCCATGCGCCGCACGCTCTGGACCTGCATCCGCGCCTTTGGCGACGGGCCGGCGGCGCCGTACCCCATCATTGCGCTCGACACTTTGCAGGAGCTGTCGGACATGCCCTCGGACACGGGCTCTCCGGTCGCGGCGCTGGCGGGCGAGTTTGGGAGCAAGGTGGATCTGTCGCGGGTCCGTGACGGGCTGTGGACGGATAAGCTCGGCGACACGCCGTTTGAGCCGACAAAGGACAAGATTGAGGCGCGAGCGCGCGAGGCGAGACGGACGCTGCGCGATATTGCCGGCTTGCAGACGGATAAGCATATTGTGGTGGTGTCGCACGGCGCGTTTCTGCACTTTTTGACGGATGAGTATCAGGATATTCCCAGCGGAAACGGTATGTTGAAATTTGCCAAAAAAAAAAAAAAAAATTGTAGCTGACTTGCATCCTTTTCAAGCTACGAGTTGGAAAAACTGCGAGTACCGCTCGTATCAGTTTGTCGACGCCACGGGCGCCGACGACGGCGCCGCCATTATCGAGACGGACGAGAGCTGGCACCGTCGCCGTGGCGACAAGCCTCGCCTGTCCCAGCACGACCTGGATGAGTTGCGCGTGGTTTCTCAAGGCCGCATTGTGCCTCATCTCAAGTCCAGCGCGCGCTTGTAAGCAGACAAATAAATGGTGGCGGGACAAAATGCGCGCGCATCAAATCTGGGCATTCGACCATTAGACATTGAAGAGTTTTTCTCATTAGAGGTTAGAAAACTTCGGCATTGGAGGTTATAGATAATTTCATGAATAGGGATTATAGAGTTTTGCTATTCGAGATTATAGACGTTTTTCCTATTTGAAGCTATCGAGCTTTTCGAGTGGACAGGCTAAAGCCGAGCAAAAACGCAATAGAGCAATGCAGCGTACATCCTTGTTCATAAATCACGTCAATATGGGGAACACATTCCAGGGTCGTCCAAGTCCTTTCTTCCCAGAAAATCCATGGCCGCCATAATTTCTTTCCACTTGATTTCGCGTATACAGTGTAAGATGAGCGCGTATCCGAGCTCTGCGCGAGCGTCTTTCCGCAAGGTGCATTGGCAGTAGCATTTCAGCGCAGGATCGTTGCTCTTCAAAATTTCTCTGGCTCCAATATCGACAGAGTCTCCATGTTCCTAATTGAGTAAAACTCCAGATATTAAAGGCAGCTTTATCTTGAACAGGTCGCGCAGCAGGAACAGTTGCTTCTTCTGCAAGTTCTCTCGACGTGTATGGACGACACGGGCAAAAAGTTCAAATTTGACTTCCAGTTGATTTCTGTACATTGATTCTTTTGCTTGAAGCATTTCCTGCAGATGAAACCACACTTTACAAGGCCGAAGAAGCATCCCAGTCGGGGCGGAAACGGCCGTTGACGGTGGTGTCACTGGCTCGGCAACATGCGATCGGGCAGCCTTGATGCTATCATTGCTCTCCTTGGAAAAACTCAAAACCTGATTAGCGTAGGTCTGGTGCAGCTGACAGTTGATATAGTCCCAGCTCATGCTTTCGCCAACATCGCTGCCGCTGCCAATGCCGTCGTCCACAGCCGGAGAAGCAGAGTTCGGAGTGGAATATTGAAGGGTAGGGTCAAATTTCGGTGCGCTTGTCGAGGTCGAAACATTGTCAAACTCGCGCAAAACACTCGGCGGCGGCTTGTCATCGTCTGGAGAGGGCGGTAAGCTTAAGAATTGCCAGATATCGTCGGACGTTTGCGCTTCGGGTGACTTTGGCGTTGCAGCCGAGTTGTTGACAGCGAATAGATTCAATTCAAAGTCTGCATTGTCAAGCTCGCCGTCCGCGAAATCGTACAGGTCCGGAAATGTCCATTTGTCATTGCCATTTGCCGCGAGCAAGGTGCCGGTTGCTGGAGCATTGGAGGAATTGGGCCCTGCGGCTGGGGGATCAAATTGAGCGTCAATACGGACGTTACTTCGCTTATTGTGTCGCATCTCCTGAGATTGGTCATCGTTTGCAGACAGCTGTCGTTTTCCTTGGTCCAAGTGGCAAGAAGATTCCAACGTATCTGTTGCTTCGTTTGCAAGCCCACCTTGCCCCTGGCGGCTTGCGTCTGGGACTTCCATATCGGCAACGAAATATTATGCTTGCCAGAGAATTTAAGTATGATTTTTCTGGGGTGGGCTTTGAAGACAGCTGCGCTTGACATTCTCATTTTACACCATAGATAAGAAAGCATTCGCACCGAAACAGTCCACGTTCCTGATTCGTCCAGTAGGCGAGCGCATTGGCCACATCGTTGACATGGTCTAGCAAGGAAGGTGCAGAATATCGCGGGAAGCATCCACTCACTTTCTTCATCGTCATTTATTATTAGCCCATAGCTCGGGCATTTGATACTTTGTCTCTTAGCAAAAATGTACTTGTTTTCCAGCATGTCGTACAAAGCAATGATGACCCTCGAGCGTTCTCATCATGCCTGCGCAAGCCAACACTAGCAATGGCCAGGATTAGACACTGGTTCTGCAATGTGACAGGTTACTAGGCGGTCAGAGATGAGATGTCGGATCTGTCTCATCCACGCAACTCTGGACAGGGATCAGGCTGCTGCTTATCGTGCCTCCCGTCACTCACTCTAAGCACATTGCCTGCAGCCATTGGCCTTGGCGCAGTCATCTGTATTAGGCGGACTGCTTCTGCCGTCAGAGATTTGCTTTGGGCAGTGTGAAGTCATGGGCTTGTTCTGTCAAAGTCGTCATCGCAGACCCAAACGGCAAACGGAAACGAGTTCAGAGCAGCCTCGAGGCTGATTCAGGGCGTGTGTCGTGACTCGGCCCCGCCAACAAAAGTACCGAGCACTCTGCTCATCAGTCATCAGTCATCACCCGTACCGCCGCGGACGTCAAAGAGATGGGTAGGTAGCTGTCTGGCAAATGAATACACGCACCCTCCCCTCACGCCATCTAACTAAGTCTTCACCATTGGCTGTCGCACCAAACTGGCCGACGGATGACGTTTTGCCTTGTTTTTGTGTCCTACACAGTCCAGCCTGGCCACGTCTCGTTTCGACGCCAAGGCTAGGCGTGGAATTAATTGCTCTGTCACCCGTTCCCACTTGCTGGGGGCGTATGAAGGCGACTCATCGTAAGCTCTGCATGACGTGTGTTGTCGAGAACCACCCGCCACGACCGATGGAGCATCGAAACCTATGTTTATGCACCACACCGTGATGGCCTTGTCAAGCGAGCGACAAGCAATGCAAGATGAACGTGCGCCCTGCACATCGACGGGCACATGCATGAGCGGCAGTCTTCTGCACTCCGCAACTCGAAATGGCAGTGCTGCCGAGACCAAGCGGAGTCGAAGCTCGTCGCCGTAACAAGACCGGCGACTCGCTGGCATTCCGAGCGGCCTCGAAGAAGACGTGCTTTCCCAACCTACCGGGACGTTGGAAAATTATAACTTGCCCTCGCGTGGGCACCCCTCCAACTTGCGCAGCCACTCTTGCCCCCAAACCTCCCTTGCATCCATGGTCTGCACGATTGCCACCAATCAATCCACCTCGTCCACACCACCACTATCATGGGTCGTCACCATGCGAGGAGAAAGGTAAAAGAGAGGTCATTAGCCATCAATCAAAATGACTATGAGTATACTTCGTAACAAAGAAGAGAGTTGAAAGATGTCAGCGATAAAAACATAGAGCGTGCGAACGGGAAAGAGCTGCATGTACAGACAGGTGTCAAAGTACAATGTATTTTGCACATTCGAGCAGCGCCTGCTTTCGTCACTGGCGTACACGCTGCGCTAGTGCGCAAATCACATCTCGCTTTGTACTGGCCCCCCCTTCCCGTTGTCTCTCTTTCACGCCATCATCCTCCTTGTCATAGGCCACGCAGATTCCTCAGCCCACTTACACCAACACAGCGCACACATCGACACCCACCAACCAAGGCTCGCTGCCAGAGTAGACGATGCCACACTGCAGTGACAGCATGATACGGCTCGCAGAATGATATGTCGACTTGTCCGGCAATTTTCGGGCGTACGTTGCTCCCACACAGCGCAGCACTACTGCAAATGATGGATAATATCCAGCTGGGCGATCTGTCAATCCGTCATTTATGGATCTTGCCGGCTCCGTCATGAGTTGTTCGCCGCGTGTTGTTCCTCGCGTGTTGTTCCTCGCGTGTGCCGGAGCTAGAATGGCCAGGCGCAGCGTCAGAACTTGGATTGATGGTGCAAGAAAAAGCCAGTCTCTCTGGTAACGTTGATGTCGACTCACAGCTCTTGTTTCTTGCTTCTTTCGGCCGGATGATTGAGCCAAGTGTGGAACCAATGTGTTACACTCGCTATAATGCGACGAAACTATACACCAGATGTTCAAAATATCATTCACAAATCCGAGACCCGTCGATGCTTGTCACTCTTTCGATTTCTGACAGGTATTGAGTAGATGTTTCTTTTTCCATTTATTTCCAATATTCGCGCTTAGAATTTTCTCATCAAGGGAATCAATCTCTCGGCATTAAACCTGTCATCTCAAGCTACATGCAATCAATGTATGATGTACGATGCAGATCGATATGGTGTAGTTTGGGATGCACATCTTTAGCCGCGCTATCCCCTCGTGTCACCACACCAGCGCAAGCCCACCTTCCCCAGACGTTGGGCCGCACACCCCCGGGGCCCATGATCCCAAGGCCGCAGCCAAAAAAACCGAGCAGCTGGGGCGCTCACAGTAACGCTAGCATGCAGGTGTGTGTGTGTGTGCCCTGTGAGACAAGCAGGGCCTTGGGATGAGACCTCCTCTTCCGCTCATGCGCGAGGTGGCGTGACGCAAGGTCCCCGAAGCTGGAGCCTTGACATGGGACCAGCACGATTAAAGACAAAGAAATATGCGCAAGAGGAGAGGACCAGAAGCGGCCGTCGCACACATTGGACATGGCAGCGCTTTTAATCATGGTCAGGCACGGCAAATCATAAAAATGCCGACGTAGTAATAAGAAAAAAGAAAACAATGACAATTTTATTCTTGTCTCCTCCGTCGTAATCATGATAGTCATAAGTAGTCATGCAAGCTTTCTTTGGGCTTGTGCGTCCATGAGGAAAAAATAAGCGAGTCCCGGTGCAAGTCTCGTCCCAAAATGGTGACAGCAAACCCCCCCTCCATCAGTTACGACCCGACTTCCGAGACTAGCAAAGCAAAAACGGCAAAGAGAAGACTGACAACATCAGCAATGCGAAAAGAAAAAGGTAAAGAAAAAACAGCGGCCGTTTCATTCAATTCTGGGCCAGGCAACAATACGATTTCATTCAGGGGCATGAAGAGCATCCCCCGTCATGAGAATCATAAAAAGACTAAAGAAAGAAGAAGAAGAAGTAGAAAAAGTGAAAACATGTCTAAAGGTATTCGTTTCGTTTCGTCATAAAGTCGTAGATGGCATAACATCAATCGGATCGCTCGTTGCTTTTCTTTATTTCGTCGCATCTTCATCCAAAGATTTCATATATCCGTTCCTTTTTTGGGGTCCGCAGTCGTTGACAAGGCGCTCCCAGGTTAGCAAAGCCACGGGTATTCCAGGATACTGGAACGCTGTGAAGTCTTTCAACCGCGTGTAAGACTTTGCCCTTGTTCTTTCTTCTTTCGTAGAGATTTAATGCTCATCTCGCGTCACACCAAGACCCGAATCGCAGAGAGATTTGGTGGTCGGCGTTTACTCGACGCCCCCCCCCCCCAGGACGACAAGGTTCAGTATCCACTGGCCAGAATACCCTCGCGCCCACCCCCCGCAGCGTGTAAACAGGACAATGCGCGCTGCCCAGGGAGGCAAACATGCCTTGTGTCGTTTAGTCAAACGAGGCGGTCGAGCTGCTGCTCGAGTGGTGGCCCGATCGTCGGCCTCCGCTGTTGTGATCGGGGCTCTCTCGCGCTGAGCTGTGGCGGCTCTTTCGTCGACGACTGCTCTCCGGTGCGGCGGGAAGGCCTTGGACAATGCCGTTGCGCGCCAGCATGCCTCCGTTGACGGAGAAGTTGCGGCAGACCATAAAGGCGCGCATGGCGGCGTTTTCCTGTGCTAGCGAGTCGGATGCGTACGCCAAATCCGTCTGGTATGCGCGACCATTAACAAGAACGAGGCATGTAAAGCCGTTGGGGTCGCGGTAGCATTCGTACGAGGGGTCAATCCAACCACGTCGTCGGCAGAGACCTGTTCAAAGCAGAAAACCTCGGTTAGTATTCTTTTTTTTTTTTTTGGTGCTCAACTTGAACATTGACATGGGTACATCAACAAGAAAGGCGGCCAAGTCGCCCTCTGTTGTTTATATCAACACGCGGGCGCCTCCGAACGAGGAACTGTTAGATCCGTGTAGCGGAGCAAGAACCGGCCATGGTAGTCAAGTGTAACAGTTGCCATTGGTGACTTACTTTCCAGGTACTGCATGTAAAAACCACTCATTGTGAGGCGGGCTTTGCACAATGGCCTTTTGCAAACGTAAAAGAAAAGAATGAAATGCCGCAAGAAACAAAGGCGGCCGCAGAGAATTTCTCAGCGTTGCCTCAGAGGCCGGTGTACTTGGCCAGCCTCGGGGTGGAGGGGACCGTGTGTGTGTGCGTGGTGGGCGTGGGCGTGGGCGTGTTTAGTTCCTAGCAGTTTCTGCTCCACCAATCGGGGGCAAGAGTTGCGCTGGTAGAGTTGTGGTGTTGATGCAAGGCGGGCACCCAATTATCAATGGATGTACAAGAGGGAAAGAAAGGATGAGATGAAGCAAAACCGAGTGACGAGACTGGCAGTAGGAGAAGTGAAGATGGAAAGAGTTGTTTGATGTGCGTCCGGTCTTGGTGGCGGAAGATCGGGGGAAGAAGGTGTATATATGTAAGCGATTCAGGGTTCTGGCGAGGAGGAAAAGTACAGCACACACAAACCAACGGTATGTGCAGTAGCGCGGGGCTATTAATTTGCAAATCGGTGCACCATTATCATCATGAGTCTATTAGCGCGCACGGGGGGGTAATCCAAAGGGGGTGTGGCAAGTATGACAGAGCAGCGCCGCAGATGCAGCCAGTCCAGCAAGAACGAGGCCGGCCAGAAAAATGGTGAGCAGACAACTGCGGCTCTCGACTGGAGTGTGACCCATCTTGATGTGTTGGCGTAGCTAGTTGCCAGTTGATACACGGCCACTTGGGCCTGGGACGCTCCACCACGGCGCATAGTAAGGGCAGGTCGCGCCGGCGAGGCAAAGAAGATGAGAGTTTCAATCGGAATGAGCATTGCACTCATCTTACAGTAGTCTGTAATACTGCGATTGCTGTCAGCTTGAAAAGGACGAATGGGAATGCCTGTGTTGCGACGCGCCTTCTTTGCAATTCGTATGATATACCCTCTTTGGTTCAAAGTCCCCCATCTGGCTCTGCATAGATTCCGCCCTTCTCTTTGGCAAAGACTCGGTAGCTCGTCTGTATCCAGTTTGCAGACCAAGCAGAGCCAAAAGCCCACCACTTCAATGGGGCCGTTTGGCCGTTGGTAGGGTGCCTTGAGTGGTTCCGGCGGGTTGGCAATAGCCACTCCCAATACGGCTTCCTATGCAGCTGCCAGGGAAAGCCATCTGTAACACGGTCTGTTGTGGTGCTTCGCGGTGCGGTGGTGGCGACTTGGAACCACTCAAGGCCGACTAAGTGGCCCAGCTTGCATGCTATTCCGGACGTTCTGGGATGATTTCTGCAAGAAACTTGCTTTAGTTAGACGGGAATATAGTTCCTGGTTACTAGGCCTCTGCAAGGCCGACCCCAAGAGATCTCTGTGCAGTCGCCGCCTGTCGGCATCGCAGGGTACATGGACTGCGCCGGGCCTTTTCTCCACGAAAATGCGCTACTCTGCATGTATCGTTGCCGGCATGTTTTGCTGCGAGCAAGATGGCGTATGCCTATCCAGTCAGTATTGCTCGCCGCTCTCACCGCTGGGATCGAGTAATACTACATGTATAGGCGCCAATTGACAAGATATGACACCTTGTCCGGCACTAGAATGATCCCATCAGTGCTTGCTCAGTTAGCACTTCCGACTGGCCGGATTCCTGGGACTGGCGTATCGCCAGAGATCCTGTGTAAATCTAGCGGGGAGGGGAACACCGACAGGGGGCTGGCAGTACTAAGTTTGGCGACCCTGGTAGGACTGCAGAACTCCAGACAGTTCCGAACAAAGTGGTGGCACTGGTGAGTTATTGCAGGCGTTGCAATACCAGAGGAACACGCCAAATCGATGGAGGGCTTCAGCTCCGCACCGCTGGCCAAACATTGCTTGCCGAGGGTCGGGGTTGATGCGCAATGTATACCCATGTCTGCGGTGGCCGGGTCTAGCCAGCGTATGCACATGGGCCTGGAGCGTACATAATAAACACACGAACTGGTCGAGGTCGGTGAGCAGCGCAGGCAGGCCCTCTATTCTCCCCATTAACCAAAAACTTGTGCATGAACAGCCTGTGGAAAGTGGCTGGGAGGTGGATTCAGGTGGACCGCTAGCTTGACACTGGTGCTGGCACCGGCGCCGCTCAGCTCTGTGCTGGGCCTGCTGCCGTGCGATTGGACCCTTTGGCTTGTTTTTGTTTTGATACTGTGTGCCATCAGCCCACGTCTTTTGCTTACATGCAAAAGGGCCCGCCTCACTGACCTGAGGTTGGAGATGAGGCTATGTCGTGATACAGCAGCAGACGGACCTGTGGTGGCGGCAAAGCGCATGGCCGCCTCTCGCCATTTCCGATGGAAGAAACCGGTGAGCAAGGCACATATGATTGGCTGCCTTGTCAATGGAGGGGTGTCGTGCGGCGCCTTGTTAATGGCCCTGCCTGTTGTCTGAGCCCTCAACCCCCGCCCAGATGCAATGATGTGTTGGCAGCGCCGCTGGGTATAATAGCAAGCAGGCGAATGCGTGCAGGCACGTCTTATGGCGCTGCAACTTCACCATGTGCCAATAGAATGAAGGTGTCGTGTGGCGCGCGGGGTTGATTGTCAGCAAGTTCGCAAACCAGCGAAAGGCCGCTTGGACGTCGGCGTCGCTGTCAGCGCTGATCGTCATGTCCCATGAGCCTGGCACCAATATATGTGCAAGTATGTGCAAACCAAGTGCGGTGATTTATGCACATGCACTGTATATGCCACGATCACGGATTACACGCTTGGTGTAAGGTAATATGTGCGTGATGCAACGATAGTTAGATATGCTGCCTTGAGTTTAGAGACTCAATTGCAGTTCATAGACTGTTATTCTACTCGAAACCGTTTGCAATCCAAGTAGAAGTCTCTTTCTTCAAATTGACTGTTTGTTGGACTGTCCGGTTGCCGCTCTCTTGTTCGAGGAATAACGCGCAGCTTGAAGCAGCGAGGGCATGTAATTTGGATGCGCTAGTTATAGCCAATTTCGGTATTAGCACATTTGTTACTCCAAGCACCAGCTGGCACAGCTACTTGACCATACCACTAGGTGCGAGCAGGCTGCGATAGAGCTCGAAGATTCGGCTCCGCGCAGACGTGAAATTCTAGCTATTAGTTGCTGTTACATTTGTGTAAGTCCCGGGCTGATGAGTCCTCGACCGATGGCACATTGGTCGACGACGCGGGCCTAGAGGAGACCAGTATTATTAGTGCCGAGGCGGTTGGTCCACGGCGAAGTGGGCGCGCGCAACAAATACGCGTCGGTGTTATGAAATATGGCGGCTGGCCTTGAAGCGAATCATGCACAGCAGGGGATTCCATGGCGGGGGCTTCCGAATGGGCGGTGGGCTCGCATGCCTCTTTCGGTATTCTTTGGCGCCATTCAATTCGTATACCAATGCCTTGTCACTTTGTTCTTCTGTAAGTATTATATGCATGCGGTGTCGTTTCTCGGTTCTGTGCCAGGCGAGATCCAGTATAGCCGCCTGCACGGGGCCGTTTGTGCATTGACTATTGACTATCGGTATAGCGCTGAGTTATCGACAATGGGCTCTGCTCGATGTGTTCCAACTAGGCGCCCGTCAAGCCGTCAACCCCACGCTTGCGAAAATGTTAAGAATAATCCGAGTGTTCTAGATGATCGGTATTGGCCTGTCTTGTTCTTGGGTGCTCCATGAGGCGCCAATTGATGACGTTTGGTTCGTTACCCAGTGTCGTGGTTCCATCAGCAATGGCTCCGAGCCTCTGTGTAGTGCACCCGTCAGTGGATAACGAAGAATTGGAAGCTTGGCGAGGCATTGGCGGAAAAGGCAAAAAAAAAAAAAAAACACACACAACAAATAGAATAGTCAAGAGAAAACGCCGACTAGGGTAAAGGCCTTGAGGGCGTGCGACTGATGCAAGGGCGTGTGCGTTTGCAGATGGAAAGAAGCTAATTTATTAACCAGCCTGTCGATGGTTGCTGCAGGTGAGGGGCTGGCTTTTGGTGGGAAAGTCTCTATTTACGGAGTAAATGCACCTTGCACTGTGAAAACAGACGAGGTCCCTACCTGCCAAAAAAGGTACCTTACGTCCGCTTCTCACGCGAAATACAGTTACATCTGCGTCGAGGGGTACATCTCGCCCAGTCTGCACCACCAAAAGTAACAACAAGAGGGGCACCTGCTTTCGTTGCTTGTCTCCTCGTCACCAAGAGGGGCAGCTGCTGGAGGGGCAAGAAACCAGCCATCCAGCAAATTCAACAAGAATCAAGCCACGCCTCGAGTCATCGGCTTTCGGTCTGAGTATTCTCACGAGGCTCAACGCTCCTCCTCATAGACCACGCACCCTTTCAAACTTTATCAGACGCCGGTTTTACCGCCATGGCCTCGTCAATGGCATCCGCGATAACTTGCGCCATGCCATGACCGTCAAGATCAACCGTCCGGCCAAACCCCGGTGGCACACTGCGAGTGATTTGCACGCGAAAGCAGGCCAGGCCAAGCATCTCGCGCCCACCAAAGATCTCCAGTTGTGTCTCCATTGCAATACAGGGTTCATGCTCCGAATATGAGGAAGACAATTATCAAGAATAATAATAAACACCATCTAATAAACGACGAGGGTGCCCGCAGTAACAATCACCACGTCGACACTAGCAAGAAACGCCGCCCACCTATTTGCCCACCTATTTGCCCCCCTCCCCCCCCCCCCTTTCTCCCCGGTTTGTATGCGACCAGTTTCGATGCAATGGCAACGTATCGTCGTCGCACCAAATGCATACTGCCGTCATCAACTATCTACTTCTTGACAACATTTCGAGCATGTTTGCCGATGAAATCAACGTACCGTGGTGCCCCCAAAAACCTGAGCCGCCCATGTCGGCAGATGGGCTTCGAATGCCACGCCACCCGCCAGCCAGCCCGGCCCGCCGCAATTGCCCTGCTGCAAGTCGATAATCGACACTCTTCCATAGAAGTAACTAAACCTTATGCTGGTCCACTTGCACAATTCTGAGATAAACATATGCATCTCTATGCCAGCGTTTGTTATTCAACTTCTGTATTATCTCTGCGATTTGGGGGCAGGAGCAGCATTGGATCGTCAACCAAGCATTGTCGCCATTGTAGTTTCGAGATGCACAAACCAACTGAAGTCTTGCCAGGATGGCAACAAGCCATCGAGCTGCACAAAGACCGCTTCTGAAGACCATCTCATAACTGCCAACGCATCAACCCAGCAAAAAATGAAAAGACTCGGCCTCGCCGCACTAATAGATGCAGTGTCTGGACCCCGTCCTGCCTGGCAGCTACATCATTCGTCGTGCTTGCAGCCCAAAAAAACACCCACCTTCCAGCCTGCGCCATGACCAGAGTCGACCAGTACGAGTGCCAGAAATTGTCGATGAATATTTTCTGGCTAATAAGGTGTGCAAAATGAGACTCCAAATACAGCCAGCCGGCTTCCATTCGCACACCCTCTGCACCCCCCGGAGAGTCGCGGGGGCGGCGAGCAGGCTGGCGATAGTGCGGCATGGCTCTTTGCAGGGTTTTCTTTTGCCTTTTTGAGTTTCTTCTCTGATAATTCCCTTTTGCCTTTACACAGTGGGGCTCGCGCCGCATCATGCATTTGACATGTTTATTAGTTCGCCAGCTCCAGCTTCTCGACAGCCTGCAGATCCTGACTCAAAGCCCGCCACAACTGCACGGCGGATGATACACGCCCCTTGGCATGGAAGAATTATTTGCCTTCCTTGCAGGCCAATGTCTTCGCTTTGCATATCCCATCTTTTGATTCACAACAAGGGGGTCAAAAGTCACTTGCTTGCGCACTCTGTTTACTTTGTCAGCCCGGGTCCATCACTTGTCATTTTGTGCGGAGTGAACTCCCTCCAATGCATGTCAACATTTGCCATTTGCTTTTCCTGCCTCTTCCTGTCCTTTCTTTCGAGTTGGCCACGTAGTTGTACGCCGTGTTCTGTGGCTTTCAGAGTCCATCTCCGGCCGCTTCTCCTCCCGCGCCCTTTCTTAGAACAATTTAGCCTGCCCCAATGTTTTGATGCGCTGGCCATATGTAGCTAAGGCAAGCCGCCCACCCAGATGCGTCCATGCAAGTGAGCTGTCTTCCCGCGAATGGTATCATGAATTGATGGAATATTCGAAGCAGGGGCTGTATTGCCAGATTCCACATTACCACCGGTTCATCAATGCAGCCTTGGTTACAGCTGTCGGGAGACATAAGGACTTTCGTATTTTAGTAGCTCCGAATTCTTCAACGTATCCTTGGCTCGCAGTCGTGCCGAATATTCCGCATACAGGTTCAAGCACCGGCGCGCAGGACCCAGCATCCATCGCCTGTGTGACCTCAGATACTCATGTTGGAAGCATAATACTCCCACGCAGCTTCGACCTTGTGCTGAGGTATTACGTATACGGGATGTGTCGTTCCAATTCGGTCATTTTCATCGAATACTTGCTCGTCCTCGATATATGGCAGAGCCTCCCACTCGTCAGCGCCGCCGGCAGAACCAGTTGGCCGTGCAGTCTGTACAGTCCACTTATGCTGTGCGGAGCTTAGGCCAGCTAGCACATAGCATGTGTGGTAGGCATCTGAGTATCTATCAAGCAACGAAAATTGTTAATGCATCACGAACCAGCATAAGCGAACGTCATCGAGGTAACCTACTTGCTTGGCTTATCCCTCAAGCCACCGCGAGGGGTCTGATCCTGGCAGCAGCATAAAATGTAACGGATCAGCCCGTTACGACTGAATAGGCTGCCAGTATCTGCGGCCTGCTGGTCTGCGGATCTGGCCTCACCACTGCGTGGCCCGCTCAAGGCGGCCTGGATGAGCGGCCAGCATCCCCCAACCCAGTGGCTGTAACAGCCGTCTACGAGCTTGTTTGTGCGTCCAGAGAAGCCGCCTTCTGGTGCGTACTGGCGAGAAGACAGCCATGCAATCAGTCGTGGCATGTTCATGTATCTGTCCGAGTCAAAATTGGTCAGTTGTTCGCCCAATCACGCAACGCCGAGTGTGACCACGACCAGAAGGGCATCTTGATCACTCACTTTGGTATGGAACGATGCGGAGAATCCAGTATGGACAGGCACGCGAGGGCACAGAAGGCATACGCCCCGTGTGCCTCGATCCCCGGGATTGCAGCCACGCCACCTTCATATGTCTGGCCTGGCAAGAGTAGCGAGCGTGCGTCAGTGGCCAACCAGAAATCATTCAGGTCTCAGGGTACTCACATCTGCCTATCCACTCTCCGAGACCGCTGAAGAGGGTTTTGTGTCCGGCGGCGAAAGCAGGCGAGTCGGCTGATGTCTCGAGGGGAATCCCGAGCAGAGAAATGATAACTGATGCGCAGTATGCGCCTCTGCAAAAACAAAGAAAAAACCCTCTATTAGTCGATTATCCTAGCCTCTCGGCATCTCTCCGCCGGAAGCTTGACAGCAAGAGTCCGAAAGGGCAGGTGTGCGTTGTACGTACCGTACATCCTCTTCGCCTCCTACGACCATCTGAAAGCCTCCATCAGCCTGCTTCAGCGAGGAGAGCCATTTCCACATTGCACGCCTGTCTATTACTTTATACGCCTCTTCTCCACCCACGAGCATCAGTGCCAACACGGTGGCATAAGTGGTCGCCAAGTGAGAATCCTGGCCGACGCCTCCCCCAAAGCCGCCGCTGGCATTCTGGATGGGGCGGACAGTTTTGACTAGACTCTCGCGATAGACACTGACGTCCTCTCCCAGCAACGTCAGCGCTGAGAGACACCAGTAAAAGAACCACGGCCGGCTGGGATCTGCAGCCGTAAACTGCGGTGGAAGGCTGCCAAGCATCTTGTGCAGAAACTTGACGTGGCGCTGTTTGTCTAGGCGGGGGACGCCGTACTGATTACATTTGCCTGCATGTTCTTCTCCGCTCAGAAAAGGCAGACACTCGTCGATGGTGTCCTGCTGAAGCTGTGACGATTGTGTCTGGAGCATGTCAACAACCGGAGGCTGCGAGGCGAAGAGGTCCGGGATCGCGGTTTCAGTCATATTGCCTGGAGATGGCCCATGGTCAGACTGGCTCCGCACGGGATGTGAGTCTGCAGCTGCAGCCATGGCCTTGATTTGATGTCGAAACAGAACTCTGGGTTGCGTTTTGTTGCGACGAGGGCGAAAGCTCATTACGTAGTGCGCGGCTGTCTCATCTCTTTCAAGGGGGTATAGTCTGCTCGCTCGCAATGTCGCTTTATATATTGCTAGACATGCGGTAGGTCTCCTCGTGGTTCTTCCACTGGTTGCCGCACCTGTGACGTTATTTGTTTGCTCTCTCTTGATGGTATTGCAGTTGTGATGTTTGGCCTTGGCGCCACTCCACTAACTCTTGCTATTGTTCTCGGGAATTGGTCGGGTACCAATTTGTGGCCCAGCTCAGCAAACCGCCACCACCTTTCGAGAGACGAATGCGTGTGGATTTGGACCACCTGCAACTGAAAAGAAGATCGACAGCGTATTTTATCCTTGTTAATCTGAGATACTCGTGTCAGTCGTTTGTGTCACCCTAAGTCACTCATCGCAGCGTTTGGCGCAACTGCGCTGACGCAGGTACCCTGCACCATGCTGCGTAATGACATTTACGTTCATGGCGTAATGCGCGGAGCAGCTTGGGCAACAAACATTGGCCTGCTGATGATGGCAAAATATTAAACTTTTCGTACTTGCATCGTTTTATTGTTACGCATCAACCTTATTATTACTCTAATCTTTGTTGAACCAGACACTGAACTTCGTCACACATCGCGCTAGCAATGTACCTGGAACGGTTCCTATATCCCTGCGCCGATCGGCAAAAGAACCAGGCGTCGATCGTAGATCGTTAAGCAGCCCAACTCACATAAAACAGGGCTGCTCATGGAATTTATAAGCTCTTTTAGTTGTAGATTTTGCCAGCAAAAATGGTACCGTCATAGTCAACATGGGTAGTCGAGTTCTTGAGCGTATAATTGCCAAAGCATGCGTACTGGTAATTGCTATCCTTGAAAGCGTTGGCCTGGCTCTCAAGAAACGCGGAAAGCTCACACAAGCCATCGAGACGGCCCGTGGTGCTATTGCCGCATTTTCCACCACGAATCGTATTGAGCGGCAGAATTGCATTGTTCAAGCGCATGCGGATAAACTTGTGGGTGGCATTCTTAGGCTTGTAGCCGTACTGGCCCGGCGTGTACTGCACGCGACGGTTCTCGACAGGCTCCGGGCTGCCAGACGAGCAGCCAATCTGCTCGGTGATGAGGTTGGCGCCAAACGGAGTGAGGTGCGACAGAGTGACGTGGGTGTTGGAGCTGGGAGGGTACTCGTCTAGCGTGGGCGGCTTCTTGATGTAGTCCACGGACAGGGCGGTCAGGACGGAGATGATAATGTCATCGTGAGAAAAGTCAGCGTAAACCTGTTGGCCGAGTGGAAAAGTCTTGCCGTTGTTGTCAAAGGTGGAGTTGACGGATGAGTTGGAGACGGTAATGTACTGGTGGTTTAGACGGGCAATCAGCTCTTGGACATAGCCGACACCCTGGGCGCGACCGGTAGGGTTGCCGTAGCTGTATAGATAGTAGTACTGCTGGTCCAGGACATTTTCAAATCCAGCCCACTCGTTGGCGGTGAAGATTTGGCAAAAGTCAGACTGGCCAATATAGCCGTACTCGTAGGCACACGTCATCTGCATGCCGTAGATGTCGTCGTGAGTAAAGTTGAAGCCAGAAGGAGCATAACTCTCAAAGCGCTTTATGGCCGCGCGAGTGTAGATTTTCTTGTATCGCTCTTGTTTGACGGCAGCAACATCGCCATTGTCCTTGTTATTGGAGTTTGTGCAGCTATCATAGGAAGCAAGTGTATTGTTCTCAGTGCCGCCCTCGGGAATGATGACGGTGCTAAACGGCGCCTGCCAGTGCAGCAGGTCGGGCTCAGGCGTAGAGTTGTACGACGGGCCGAAGAAGCCGAGCGACCAGTTGATCTGCGAGTTTTGGATGCGAGACTGGCTCGTGGTGCGGACCGTGATCTTCGGACGTTCAGTGCCGTTGCCAAAGAGGCCGCTGTACCGGATCTGACCCGTCTCGGCATCGAATAGCGTACGCCCGTAATTGGTCCAAAAGGCAACGCCCCTGCCAGACTCGGTGCTGGCGCCTATGCCAGTGAGCAGGCCGGTGCTGTTGATGATGTAGTGGTAGCTGTTCAGGAACTTGAGAGGGCCGGTAAACTCCTTGCCCTTGTGGGCATCTTGAAAGTTGGCAAGCTTCTGGGCGAAGCGCCCCGTGGTGGCATTGTCTATGGAGTCTGGGAAGCGTTCAGCATGGCGCTGAAGCGTGCTCACTGATTCCTGGTCAATTTGGAGACTTGGTCAGCCATTGCAACGCCCCATTGACTCGACCGAGGCCACTTACAACTTGGCAGCCATCGGGAAGACCGACGTAGCCGACACCAAAGGCATCTTCCTTGTTATCTGCGTAAGCCGAGAGCTCACCCCATGATGTGGACGCGCTCTTGGCATCGGTCAGGACATGTGCCAAAGTAATGCGACCTGCCGCGGCCAGCAGGGCAACTGAGAGGGTAGGCGCGCGCATGATTGAATGCCAAGGGACCCGTCACTGTCGATCCGGCTTGTTGCGAGACAATTGAGTTGCAATGGCCGGCGGAAGCTACCCAAAAATTTCCCGCGCATGGACTATTAGGGGGAACCGACGAGATTTTTAAACAGTCGGCGCGGGTCGTACCTGTTGCAACAATAAGACGAACGGCGCGAGCAACGTCATATCTCGGAATCCTTCTGCCGAACGTATGCTGATCGACTCCTCCATTGGACGACGCTAATGTCCAATCAGGCAGGCTATCGAAGCACGAAAAGCCACCAGACCAGGCTGCGAAGCCGCTTTGCCGGTCCCAATGACAAATGAAAAGTCATTTTGAGTGCATGCACTGCAGCTTGTACCGTTTTATGGGCATGTTCCTGTCCAGAGTGGCTTTCGGCGACGCATTGCATTGCATTCAATACCGAACCGTCAAGGCTCGCGCATGGGATGTAGTTCCCCGCGTAGACGGCCCTTCACCTAGATTGGGAACCCGGGAGTCAATAGGGTACTTTGTCAAGGTAGTCTGTAGTACGCCATGAGTTGTTTCTGCTTTTTTGCACTCCACGTGCGAGTAGCTTCAACAGATGAAAGACTCTTCCCAATCAAAGCATCCATGGCGAAGGCGCACTCAAAAACGCTGTAAGTGGGCAGCAAGTGTATCTGCACGAAGACGCACCTTTGATTCTCCATAAGAGGGCAAGTGACTCAAAAATAGACGGAAGAATTGGCAATCTAGCGCCCAGTGAGAGCTACTGGGCCACCAGCGGAGTACAAGATATAGAAAAAGTATCTCGGTTTCCTGTGCCGGCACGGACCAACAAGCTTCATGTCGAGCGCAAAGAAGTTCCCTACCAATGCGGCAGCGATCGCTCGAGACTTGCCAAGAAACCAGTTCGATCTGCGCCAAGGCGCCTAGAATTCCCATACAATCCAGTACCCAAACATCCTTTTGCACACCATTCAACAAGAAGTGCTTCATCTTCATGTACTTCTTGATCGCTCCATCGTCATTTACTCCTCTATCCCGGACAACGCCGATAGAAAGCAGCTCATCAAAAGACAGAAGACCAATAAGCGCGCCCGCTGCGCGTCGCGACATCGGGCCGTCGGGAGGCATCTCAACGTCGCATCACCGCAACGTTACCCCTCTAACTGGAGCGTAGCTGTGCCGCAAGGCTGCAGGGCATCTGAATCAGCTTTCTTTCTTTCTTTTTTTTTTTTTGTTTGGGTCTGATTCAACAGCAGGGTGCGGTGTGCGGCGGAACTCGATTTCCATCACAACGAGCGGGGCGTGTGCAAACAAAGTGACAAGACGGCCGAGCCAAGTTGCGCAGTTTCTCGCTACTCGGCAGCTGTGGGCAAAGAAATCAGATTCCCAGGCTATCCCAAAATGAGTGACTGGGAAAGGATTGCTGACTCTCGAAAGGCATCCCCTCCACTTCGAAACGTGATGGCAGAACGAGCTCGAGCTGGTCGGGAGAAGGGCGTCGTTGATTTGCTTCCCGCTTCGTGGGAAGATGTCATGCCGCGTCGCTGGCTGCAAGATGCCTTGTAGAGGCTGGCCATGAGCACGGTCAGATGCACGACCAGCATGACAGATCTTGAGTTGAACAATTTCATTCATGCAACACCGGCCGTCATGACGTGCGTGCTGAGTGTCCGGAGTCGTTGCAGCATCGAGTATGGCGATATGAGGATGCAGCGTCTGTGGTGTGAGATGTCTCCTCACGATTCTGTATCTGAAGCGGTACAGTTCTCGGGCCAATAACCGTCAATTCGGCCGTCTCCCTCAGCAACTTTCTTGCTCACGCTGTTGCCGTCAAGACACATTCTGGTCTGCATGCCCCCGGAAGTGTAGCATGTGACGATTAGATTTCGTCCAAAGACGGCATGTACAAGGTTTCGGCGTTACCGAAGATTCTGAAGTTTCCGAATCATTTTTGCCGCAATGGTCGTTGCGCTCCCGTGCAACTCGTTATTTGGTGGTTTCCACCACAATCTCATTGTCAGCCTGTACCTACGCGATTACGACGTCTTTTGTCTCGGGACGCTGCTTCGTTGATGGAGGATCGAAGTGAGACCTACATCTTGCACCGAGACTCATAATGAAGACGGATTCTCACCTCGTCTTGTATGCACGTCCCATCCCGGCACAAAGGTGCTTTAACAAAAGCGGTCAAAGATCTAGCTTTACCCTGCACCGGATCAGGGCTACCTGCAGATTCACCAGCCCCGGATATGCGGGACATTACGACGCCCGCAGTTGGCAAAGGTAGACCATCAACGCGGCTACCCTTTTACGCCTCACTGCTTCTAGGACCACAAGTCAAGGAAGAGGAAGAGACGAATCAGGAGCTCATTCATGCCTCTTTTGATCGGTTCCCGTTACCAATGCTGTGGTGGCGCTGAGGCTTGGCCATACTTCAAGCCTCGATCAGCTTCAGCTATCCATTGGCGGTGCAGACGGTTGCTGCTGCTGGATGTCGAAATAGAACAATTTTGCTCCGCATGAAAAAGCCATGTCAACAAAAGCGGTAAAAGGCAAAGCTTCAACAAGACAGAATTGGCAAGGGCTTATCGAAAACGCACATAGGAACATCGGAACACCTGCGCGAGGAGGAAGTTGCACCTTGCATACATGCAATGCAGGGTGAGCTGGCGTGAATGTGACCAAAGCCTGAACAATCAAGCGATGGGCGTTGACATTGGGCATGCGTGTCTTCGGCTTACTCGTAGCTTCGTACCATCGCGGCCCGACTTGGGGATGGACAATGAAAGATGAACGACTTTTGTGCGTGGCAGGTCATGCTGCTCCTCCACCGTCGTGAAAACTGCATGGAGATGACCTTGCATTCCGGAGGCAAATGTCTGGAGAGCGTGCATAAAATTACGAACCGTGTTCATCTCTGTGCAACGAACCTACGATCAGTAGGTGGGCCAGCGGCGACACACAGGTCACGCGGGATGAAAGAGGGGGAGACAAGAATACAGTATCGAGAGGACAAGGTGTATGATATCTCCCTGGAAAGAACAAGCAAGGTTTCGTGAATAGACAGCGCGTAAAACCGTTACAGCAATTCGTATACAGGTGTGCGATGGCGCACAGCGTAAAACACGTGGGAAAAGGGGATCTCGGGAGAAGAGGAAGTGAACGACAAGAATGGCTGCAGTAAAAAGGAAATATCAAACAAAAGCAAAGGCATAAGGCCAGCCAAGTGCGTGGTTCAACACCTTGGACCAGGGACGGTTTGCTAGCCGCCATTTGGTGGGCTGTTTCAACCAAACAGAGACAGTAGTCAGCATCGGGGGAATCATGAGAATGTATTCCGTATTGTAGGCACGGGATAGTCAAGATGCTTTGCGGCGCAATAGAACCCGTTAAAAGGCATGCATGTGCAACACACTTGATTACGGAGTACAGACGATGAGATGGAACACCAAGAAGGAGAGATGACCACGGCTTAATGGTCAAGCACGCACTGGTACTGCATCCAAGAGGGTTGGTTCAAGGGTTCATGCATTGAACAGAGGGGCGGGCGCAATATGATCGACTGGCCAAAAGATTATGTAGGACATGGCGGAAAAGGTCTCAGCCATTGTAATTATTGTTTTGCTTCTTTTTGGCTGCGGGCGCTGGGTGCTGACGGAATACTAGTCGTGGGCAGGTGGCTGAATAGGCTTGGCAAGGCGTGATGCGACTGGCAAAGACAGGCAAGAAGAGTACGCTAGTCGACGTGTAATAGCCTCTCGTCGATGAAGGCGTGGCAACTGTCAATGCCCAAGTGGATGAGTATATAGTCGGGCATGTCTCTCAGTGAGTAGTGCTTTGGAACCGCCATGAATCTGCCGAGGCGGTTTGGCAGAAGTGAAGCCGAGCGGGAGGGTGTTTTGGCATCGCCGACTATCAGTAGACTGGGCACGCCACGGCAGTTCGACCCTTTGCGACGACGGCTGTGCCACAGGATTGCGTGGTTGGAGAGGCCAAAGAGGATAAAAATCAAGTGGCTGGCCGTTGTTTGGTGACCTTGGTGGCTTTGGTGGCTCTGGTGGCCAGGCTACCCAACTACATTACTCGGTACAACACCAGGGTTCTGTGCGCACAGCCTTGAACACCAATCAAGCCAGCAGGGCTACGAAAAATTCTTGGTTGAGGCCAGACTGCCAGCGCACACAAGAAAAAGACCCATGACAAGATGCTATTTTTGCAGCCGTTGTGGATGTGCAAGCACTGCAACGCCACAACGCCACAACGTCGGCTGGTGAGCAATTGTCGAACACGGGTGATTAGTCCGTCTCATGATTGATTGCTCGGCGTCTAGCTGTTCCTGGCGTGCCGTGGCGACAATGTCTCCTGCATCATCGGAAGACTAGTTGCTGCAGGTGAGCGAAGTTGCCGATGCTGTAGCTGGGCGGCAAAAGTTGTGGTGGCCGGTATTAACTATGGCCCCCTTGCCTGTCGTATTATCTCTGTACAACCGGGCTCAAGCTCACCTGCGGCGAAGGGTTGCGGTGACCAGCGAATCGGCCCAGTTCTTCGTCGGATTGCTCCATAATATGGTGAAGAATGAAGAGCACCGACCGCGCTATATCTGGGCATCTGGTCGGAGAAAGTAAATTTAATTCGGCCAGAAGCTAATCAAGCCAGTTGGCCACAAATGCTCCGTATTGCGTAACAGACAGATGATCCGGATCCACAGGCCAGTACGATTGCAACACGATATCTGGATACTTTGCTGGTATTCACCGTGTCAGCCGTCTCGGTCACACTCGTGAAAATATGGTAAGAACTGAGCCCTGTTGCGGCACAGAGCCCCGCCAGCGGCCACAAGATGGGCAAAAGAAAAGGTGGCATTGCACGAGAGCATCTCGGTTCGCTACTGTGGTCTCTGGATAGTTTGATTGTATGCGAGCTGTTTCTGTGGATTGCTTTGTTCCGAGGTCATTGGCAAAAGCAATTCCCGTCACTTGGGTAAGCGAATCGACAACTGACCAGTAACAATGCGCTCGTTGCTTTTGGATGAGCGTTTTGAGTTGGGGTGGCCCCGTTTCTGCATGTTTCTGGTCTCTGGTGTTCTACTCTTTCTTTGCACGGTGACATGGACGCTGGCATGACAGGTGGTGTGACGAATGGGACTTGGGGCTAAAAAGGACAGGGTTTGGGTTTATGCCAGCTATCAGAAGGAAGCTCGCCAAGAGCGCAAGTGTTGCCGTGTACGAACGGAGCCCGGGCTGAGGATGGCGAGATGGCTTACCAGATATCCATACTTAACAGCTGGTAACCAAACGAACAGAGGCTCAAGTCAAGTCGTGAGTCGTGGCAGCGAGGCTTTTCGAGGCATTGACGGGATGGAGCGGACACAGCCTATCGCAATTGCCCGACCAGAGCAGTAGTGCGCGGTATGGAGTGCGATGGAGAGTTTCTGAGAGGTGGTGGATGTGATCTGTAGCATCTAGATGTCGAGTGGCTTTGGCTGCGAGAATCTGGTGGGATGGAACCGAAGGGGTAGAGGACAGGTAGCTGTACCTGTCATGAGTGCATACGAGAGGACAGTGATGATGTAGATGGTACAATAATCGGCTCATGTGCTGTCGTGGTGAGGAGAAAATGGTTAGGTAGAAAAGAGCGGGCGGTGGGTGTCAAGTGTCCACTCCGCCAACGAAAGTGAGCGGCACCCCCACTCGGCAGGCAGCGGGCAGCGGGCAGTTTTTGCAGAGCAGAGGACAGCAGTCGAGAGCAACAAGAGAGACGCCGAGAGGGAGAGAGAGAAAGAGAGAGAGAATACAGAAAGCAACAAGTAACCTTCTCCCATTGATTAAGCCAAGAGATACCTACATTGGCCGCCCCCAGTCGCTCTTCTTCCTAGATCGCTGCCAAGCCGCATCCCTCAGCGGCCCACCCGCCTGCAGCTGCACCTGGCACAGCTCGACGGCCCCTATTGGTTCCGGGCAAGCCCGCGGCCGGGGCTGGTTGAAGCTCACCGCTTCTTCGTCGACCATTGCACTCGGCGTTGCTTTGCCCCGTTGAGAGTGCGTGTCTTTTGTCCCCTATGCTCTTGTCTAGAGATTCCAATATCAAGAATCCAAGAATTCGAACAAGATTTTACAAACTAGTCTGCTCGCGTAAATGCAGACCCGTACTTTTTATCAATAAACATCGTTTTATCGTAGCACGACTGGTTACACGGAGCCCACTTGCCCACCAAATTTGCCCTGTAACGAAATAAACTTGCAACCCCCCCCCCTCCTCATCCTCCTCCTCACCCCCGCTGCCGGTTTTACCTCTCGCTCTCACTCAAAACCCACCGCCGCCGCCACCACCAAAACCCTCGTCGCCAAAACCCACCAGCACCGCTCTTCTCATCCCCGGCCCTGGTCTATTCTTCCCTCCCCCCGGCCCTGCAACTAGAAATCTCTATCTTACACCATACCCAACAAGTCATCGTCGGCGAAAGAGCGGTGTCATCTGCTGCTGTTCTCTCAACCTTTCAACACCGCTTAGGTCTTGGTTTCTTGTCGCTGCTCCCAAGTATATGCTCCTGCGGCTTCCTGTTTTTTTCTTTTCCTTCACAATGACCCTCGACTTCAATTCAAATGGCGGGGGAGATGCCTTACTCGCCTTGAACTTTCACCCTCACAACCACAATCAGCAACACCGTCAGCAACACCATCAGCGACAGCACCGCGCTCAGCTTCAAGCGCACGCCCACGCCCACGTACAAGCCCAACCACACCAAACAGCTCAAATATACGGATATACAGCCTCGAGTTCTCTTCCCGCGTCAACCGCCGCTGCCGCCGCTGCCTTCATCCAGCATCCTCGCATCTGGCCCATTCCAATCGACATGGCCTCTTCTAGCAGCCCTCCTGGGGCCGCCTCCAGCTCGCCCGAGGAATCTCACATTCACTCGCCGCACTCTTACGCCTCGAGTCCCAACAGCCACCACTCGCCTATCCAGAGCCCGCCTTTTCACCACGCCATCAATCCTCTGACCGACTGGGCTCTCCAGCAGCAGCAACAACAACAGCAGATTGCTGCTGCTGCCCCTCACGATCACCACGATCTTGGCCCCCAGATCGATCTCTCCCAATTCATTCAGGATCCCTCGCTCATGAACTTTACTGGCCTTCCTCCGGCTTTTGCTACCAATCCCATGGACTACTTGCCCGCCACCACACAGGCCGCCATCCAACAAGCGAGCCTCCTCGAATCTGCTTTCCAGTCTATGCCGCCCATGGATGCCGCCACACACGCCATGAACTGGGGTAGCACAGGAATGGAGAACTGGTCAGAATTTCAACACAACTTGCAAATGGAAAACCTGGCAAGGATGGACAGTGTCGGCAGTAATTCACCTACTGGCACATACCTGGAAGTTCTTTCTCTGCCTTCGTCCGCTGGCGATGGCTGGGCCATGGTTGATTGGGGACACGCACACCACAATGTCGAGCCGTTTTCTCAAACACAGAATGCTACTGCCATCTTCAACCCATCACAAACTCTCCACATTCGTGCAGACTCAAATTCATCCGATGGCGCCAACTCGCTAGACTTCAGCAGCTTTGAAGAGATCCATCCCTTCCCTTATTCTCCTGTTTCCCCCGAGTCTGATGGCCATGGCGATGCCCATCACCATCGCAACTGCTTTTCTAGCGAGAGCCATCACACACACTCTCATGGCAGTGTCTCCCCCAAGGCTGTCACGGCTGCCGCGCCTATCAAGACTGAACCTTCCGTGGTCGTCAAGACTGAGCCATCTACTCGTCACAGCCCCGGCAGCGGAGCTGGTGCCACCACACCACCATCCGCCTCCGCCTCTTCGTCCCGCAGAAACTCTGGGCCACGCAAGAGCCCTATTGCCAAAGCTCCCAAGCCTGTTGTCCGCAGAATATCGACCGGCAAAAAGGACGGCACTGGAGAGAAAAAGGTCGGTCGCAGAAAGGGTCCCCTCCGTCCTGATCAGCGCAAGCAAGCTAGCGAAATCAGAAAGCTTCGTGCCTGTCTGCGATGCAAATTTCTCAAGAAGACCTGCGACAAGGGGGAGCCTTGTGGTGGATGCCAGCCTTCGCATGCTCGTCTGTGGCAAGTGCCTTGCACTCGTATTGATATCAAGGATATTGGCTACTTCATGAAGGACTGGAAGGCCGACCATGAGAGCCACATGACTAGTGGTCTCTCCATATACAGTGTCAAGGGCTTCGCTCCCAAAGAGAGCCTCATGTGGATTACTCATGGCTATGGTTTTGCTCTGCCCATTATGGTGCGCGAGGTCTATGTCACCGAGGACAGCAGTCTTTCCGTCGAGTGGCGTGAGGCTCCCAGCGTCAACGAAGGCTCCTATGACTTTGAGATCCGCTGTGAGAGGCTGGATGTCGGCGCTGAGGGTGTCAACAGTGCTGCTTTGTCAGAGTACCTTGACAAGCACATCGAGGGTCCTTTCGAGGACTTTATCGATGATCACTTTGATGGAACCCCGTTCATTACCGAGATTCTCAAGACTGCCCACCGCTACTACGCCAAGGAGAAGATGCCTGTCATTGGCAAGGCTCTCAAGCTGGTTCTCGCCTACAACCTCACCATGCACATCACCATGGTCGAGAATCAAGGCTCCGAGGTTCAGTTGGACAGCCAGATCGAGAATGCCGAGTCCAGATACTACGGGCGCACTGTCGCTCCTGTCATGGTCAACTTCCAGATCAAGTATGCCTTGGCTGAGATGTGGCGCGAGCTGCAAAAGGACATTCTGGAGGAGCTCTCTTCACTCTACTCCGGCGTCTACAGCGGCGAGAAGATGAAGAATTGGCCCACAATCTTCATGCTTGCTTCAATTCTGCTTGCTGTGTGGGAGGAGATGCAGTTTGACTGCCACTACCGCGTGCCTGACCCGGCGGCGGTGAACAAGTTCTGCACGGACATGGAGACTACTCCCGTCGGTGTGATTGTGGGTCTCTTCCACGCCATCTCTCAAAAGCTTCCCGCCTTCACTGAATGGGATACTGCCCAGCACGGCCAGCTACTTCACAACAATGTGTCTGTCTGTGAGGCCATGACTGAGGTCCGAGAGTCTGTGGTCAAGCACGGTATGTTTCCTCTGCGCTCAAGTGATGAACTTTGAATTTACTAATACTTTTACAGAGGCGTACCTGCGGGCTCGCAAAGAAGAGGCTAGCTTCGACCCGACTGACTTTGACTCGCTGTCGAACAAATTTCTGTCTAAGCTTGTCATCAAGGCCAACTAAACGGCAGCGCATCTGCCGCTGCCCACGGTGGCTACGAATTTTCTTTTGTTTTTCTGTTTTGACAACTCTCTAGCGATGGCGTTGCTTTTTCTCCAAACCAAGCGATTGATGACTACTTTCTTAACGCGCGGCTACTACTTGAGAACCGACAGTATTGATATTTGCTCCACTCTTAGTCTACTTCTCTTCTCTGGGACAGTCACGACGGCTATAGCTGCAAGACGTTCTTCTCCGACCTTATGAACAGATTTGTTGACGCAACGGCCTCGACACGATTTTTTACCTTTTCTACGAATGTATGACTTGAAGAAGACGACATCACTTATTATTTTTTGCATCATATTACTTTTTTGCTTTTTGGAGACACGAATATTTGCAAACAGCTACGGCTGTGATGATGGGACCATTTTTTGCATGTTGAGGCATTTACAGAACGAGAGACGGAAACGAATACATTACATGTTAGATGATATATGACATGGGACTTGGCGTCTCGAATACAACTAGTATTTGTCCCTGATGCAGATTGCAATCATTCGTGCAATAGAGGCATAGTAAGTTCAGAGCCTTTGATGGCCAATGGATAGCTCAATTGCAATGTTCTTCACGAGTGCGCTTTGGCTTTCCCCGCGTGAATGGGCTTTGAGAGTGTCTGGGGAAACGCTGGTCACTGTCCGTGAATATTGCCTCATGGTCGAAATGCTGGAAATGTTCTGTCATCACCGTCTGACCCATTGACATGCCCACTTTATAGACGGCATCGGTCCCCGCTCAATTCTCCCTCCCATCGCCCCGTTCTACGATGCCGAGCCATTTTGACCAACCATGTCTACACAACCGAAGTCTGAAACCAGTAAAGGCGCACGAGGAAGCGAATGTTTTGTCCCCCGGCTGAAGTGCATTTGTAGGAAGCGTGCCCTTGCTGCCGGCGACTGACGCTGGGGGCTTGGGCTTGCGTTGCAGGCGCCGTCTCGGATACCGAATCAAATGACGTTGCCACTTTTCTGGCCCAGACGCTTTGGCTCGGAAAGAGGGGGGATCGCGGCGCTATTGTCCGGGAACCCCGCAACTGGCCTTCTGCTTCTGCCTCTTTCCGTTAGCCAGCCTCCTACGCGTGCGTCCTGAAATTACAAAATAAGGGTCTTTGTGTAATAAGGATTGGCGAGAAGAAGTAGCCGTTAGTGTTTAGTCGTGCAACGTGGCAAGAAAGAGAGGGGTCGAATCAGAGTTTTAGTGCCTTGTCGCAACTGGAATTCCAGGCACCATTGTCCAACAGAGAGGGTGGTGCTCGTGTGGCGCAGGCGTGAGTCAAGCCCACTAGCGCTATCGACGACCGCGGTGTGTTTGCGTCGTGAATCGCGACCAACCACCTGCAGCTGACAGGCTGACTGCTGCTGCCTTTTGAAAGCAAACAAATTAATGCTCGAGGGATTTTTACGTACAGTCTTTGTCTCTGAAAAGTTTTCTACCCTGTCGCGCCTTGATTATCCGTATAAATCAGTTATTCATTTGCGCCGGCAACGGCATCGGGACGCTCTCTGTTGAAACGTGGTGGCAAGTGAACGGCATTGGAAAGACCCACTGAAAACGGGGTTTGCGCATGTCACTAGTACTTACCGTCTCACCTCCTGCATTAACAAGCGCTTGTACCGGAAACGTCACCTCGACAATGGACGATTAACAGGTACCTAGGTACCTAGCGTGCCAGCCTCACTGTTCTGGAGCCTTCTGTGACCGCCTGCCTACCTGGGTATCTTAGCAGTGCTAAGATAGGTCGCCGCGCTGTTGCTGATGAATCATGTGCCGACGGTCTCGTCATCCTAGGCTGTGTCGCCCCGCCCCGCCACTCTCCGGGTGCCATCCCTCCTCCCTCCCTCGTATTTAAAACCGTTCTCCTCCTCTCACATCAAACTTTTCCCTTTTGCCATCACCATCTTTTCTTACATCGCGTCTTTCGCCTTCGGCTTTTCAACATCTACACGAACCAAACACACCGCTTGATATCGATTTTTACGTCGTCACCATGCAAATCTTTGTCAAGACCCGTAAGTTCTGCGCCGCCACTGTTTGCTTTGCAATGTCCGACTAACGCCACTTTCCAGTTACCGGCAAGACCATTACTCTTGAGGTCGAGTCGTCCGATACCATCGACAATGTGAAGTCCAAGATTCAGGACAAGGAGGGTATTCCTCCCGACCAGCAGCGTCTGATTTTCGCCGGCAAGCAGCTTGAGGATGGCCGTACCCTGTCCGACTACAACATCCAGAAGGAGTCCACCCTCCACCTCGTCCTTCGCCTTCGCGGTGGTATGCAGATCTTCGTCAAGACTTTGACCGGCAAGACCATCACCCTCGAGGTCGAGTCTTCTGACACCATCGACAATGTCAAGTCCAAGATTCAGGACAAGGAGGGTATTCCTCCTGACCAGCAGCGCCTCATTTTCGCTGGCAAGCAGCTCGAGGACGGCCGCACTCTCTCGGATTACAATATTCAGAAGGAATCCACTCTCCACCTCGTCCTCCGCCTTCGCGGTGGTATGCAAATTTTTGTCAAGACACTTACCGGCAAGACCATT